GGCTTTTAATTGGATCCGAGGGAGCGATAGGCAAGCGTACAAGGAGGCAAGTAGACTGGCGGAGCCCAGTTCTGCACCGCAGGAGATCCCTGAAGCTTCTGCCCACGAAAACACGATTCATTGCTGCTCAACCGTTGTTTGATAACATGTTCTGTGGCTTTCACCCTATAAACTAACTCTCCTTATCTCGTTCGGCACATGCGGATGCACTAGTTAGGCGGGTGAGGAGGGCAGGGTACTCAAAACCCACGGATTACATTGTCATCCCTGTTTGTCAAAAATTGCTGCAAGTTCCGGTGCAGCTTTGGCAACTTACACGCATCAAATCTTTACGGAAGAAGGCCGCGCAAAGCGGCGCAAAACGATCCAGCGTTGACTCCATCAACATCGGCCGGTTGTCGGGGCCTAGAATACGTTGGTCGACCAACCAAGCCACCTTTGGCTCTGTCATCGCCTCTTCGCCTCCACATGTCGCTCCTAAGTCTGCCCCAGTTGGGCAGGGCTGCCTGCAAAGTGCAATGGCTCAGGGAAAAGACGGACGGCCCTTAAGCCAATCCCAGCACTGCAGTGTTCCCGCGCGGGAGGATCCAGATTACAGATGGCAGTGGCGGCATCGAGCAGGCGGAAGGACCGCTGCAAACGGCACGAGGCGTTTGGGCTAGGTTTTTAGGCTGGGGGGAGCCGGAGAGGAGACAAGGATGAGTTCTTGGACCCCATTTGACCTTCTCAAGCGAGTCAGTGCCAGGTGCGCACACTTGGGGCAGCGCCCTGGACCTCTCGAGACTTCAACTGAGACTTCTGGACCGGGCTCGGCCGGTCACCTCCCCACCGTGCCAGTCTCGTGGGGCAGCGGGCAGCGGCTATGCGGGCGCTTCTAGGGAAGGGCTCGTGGAGGGATTTCGGGCAAAATTCATTTCATTGATATCTCATGTCGGCGTAGGAAACCATCCAAGCGATGCCCCGCTCCAGCCGTCGAGGGCAGGTCGAAAACCACAAGCTAAATCCAAAGAGCAGCTTGTACTCAGACAGTTGCAGTCCTGTCTGCTAAACGGTTGTTTGAGAGTCGCATCTTATCAAGAATGTGTGTTGGGCTTTGTAGACACTGAGCGACTATTGATTGGACTTCTTTCGATTGAACTTCAACTGAAGCTGCTGCATGCTCAAAAAGATCTTGCAGTAGAACAGAAATAAGACTCATCTATTTTTTGCATCGGACGCCTGCTGGGTCACTACAGCCCAATCAAAACCCACATCGTCTTGCGAATTGGTGACAAGAACTGATTTCAAACGTCGATTGGCAAAGAAATTTCTGAGGTTCGTTCTATCCCCATTGTCGAAATGCTTCACAATCCGTCTGATGCATGCGTGCACGGAAACTCCTGGCAACACAACGGGGCGTGCAAAAGCAAGTCTGACGGTGTCGGCTTTGGCCAAGGCTTGTTGCAAGACCTTGCAAGTGTTGTTTCCAGACTCGCAGACGTGGTACTTTTGAGAAGATGGCACGGCTTTGTCATGAAAGGCATACGTGAAAATTGAGAGTGGTGTGGCTTGCTTTTGGCCTCGGCTTTGGCTTTGCTTTGGCTATCAGTTCTATCCGAACCACGTAGCCAAAGCACGAAAACTTGCCAACACCCAGTGCCTTCTGACTTGCCGTGAATGAGGACCTCACACATCAAGCTCATCAAGCTCATGGAGCCGTGGCAGCAGAAGCTTCTGAGACCGTGGCGGTGCAGCCACTGTCAAGCAGTCGCATGGCGGTCTCGAGGCCTCCACTCGCCCGTGCCACCACACATCACCACACATCCCACCACACCGTACCGCGACGCACTACATCTGGACGCATCAAAGAACCCGAACTAACTTGAGCCGTTTCTTGTTGGATGCGTTTCCAAAAGCGCGGCTTCAAGCGCTTGAGCAAACCAGCCCCCCAACATGCCCACCACTCCCCCCCTAGAAAGATGGCAAGGGTCGGGTCGGGTTTGAAGGGAGGTAGCGATGCATTGCAAAAGCCCTGGTTGCACCCACTTCTCGACGAAAAGGTTCGGCTTCAATGCGGCCAACCTTGAGATATGATTGGTTTGGCCATTGAATTGGCTATTGACACATACCCGCTCACCAGTCGGATGGCGCAAGGTGCTGCTTTTCATGGGCATAGGTTGACGGAAACTCCGAAGGACTCGCGACAAGTCGTGCCTAGAGCGGTCCAACTTGAGGAAGAAAGTGAAGCGCAGCATGGCCCCCCCCCCCACGTTCCCGCACTGCCCCCATCCTCTGCGAGGACAAGCACGCGCTGAGGCTTGGCCTCTGCAAAACCGGAAAGCAGAACACCTGACCCATCCGCAACGTTCGTACTTCTGTTGAAAGTCTTCATGGGTCTTCTTACTCTATTTTTCATTTGCCTGTATTCTTCTGCTTCCTCTTGTTGTTCTTATTCCTCTCTGACCTCCGCTCCAGGAAGCAGGCCGCGCAGGCTGGCGGCTAGAGTAGTGAGCCAACACTCACTGACGCTTAAGGTGCCCTACAGGACTCCAGCTTGTTGCCGAATCTTGGCGCGTTCTCTTTCCACATCCCACCCCATGGAACCCCAGCGAATCCCAGGAAGCCACAAAAAAACAAGCAGCAGTCAAGAAGGAGCAACATACAGACATTGATTGAACCCACAAGAAATTGGAAGGACATCTTGAACGTATTCGATGCATATTTCGACTTAAATTCCAACGCTTGCACATACCTCGCGCTGAGGTCGCGTCCGTGCCCCTGCGTAGCTCCCGTGATCAGGATGACGCGGTCTTCCAGGGGAGGCCTTGAATTGATGACAGCTTTCAAGGATTTCAAGGTCTTCAAGGCAAGGGGCAGCAGTCTTGCTAAGCGGGAAGCATGTCTGGATCGACCATCCCTTGAAAAGACTTAAAGGACTCACAGTTACTCAAAGATTCAAAGAGCAATCAACACACGTATCAAAGTTCAAAGCACCCCGGGCGCCCGAGTTTCTCAGAATCTCTCCTCGGCCTTCCTCCACGAGCGCAGGGCCTGCAAAGCCAATATTCAGTCTGCAGAATCTGCAGAGACTTGACAGATTTGACTCTGACAGACGACACAAAGCCATGAAGACGTATGAAGACGTATGAACACAATCGAAAGAGCAGAGATCCCGACTTCGCCGGTAAGCTGGCCCAACCTAGCCGAATTCTCTTGCCACTCTGTTGCCACAGGAATGCCATGTAAGGAATGACACCGAATAACAGCTCAGCCCCCAACATATCTTCGCCGCCCTGCGATGCCAGGGATCCACCGGATCCCCTCCGGGGCTGCGGCAGCTAGGCCAGCTACCTCATGCTTGTTTTCCCCGAGCGCCAGCCAGCAGTGTTCCGTGTGTTCCATCCCGCTGGAATCTGGGGATGCCACGGCCATGCCGGCTACCTCGCTTGTCTGCAGATGTGATCGTGACTGGCTTGCATCTGTGCATTCATGCTACTGAGATCTTCTGATCAGCCGGCTGTTGGGTAAAGTTGCATCAGACGCCCCGGGAAGCTTCCTGCCGCCCAGCGGCCACACTGGCCATTGCCAGCACTTTTGCTGCTCGGAGAACCGAGCCATGCGAAGCTCGTGGCATGAGTGCCTTGGTGAACAGCTGGGGCATCCCGGATAAGACGCTCAGTTTAGGCTGCCAACGCCCAGGGGAACCCCTAGGTCCCCTTATGTCCTGGCATCTTGCTGTAAAGAACTTGAAACTTGCCAGAATCGAAGCGCACCACCTCAGGTTTGGGGAACATGGGACCGTTTCTGGGATGCCAGGACTTCCTCAATTTCACCCCAAGGCCAAACCTGACAGATACACTCAGCCGGGACTCCCCACCGATGTACGTATTGTACGTTTGGGATTGCTTGGGGGCTTTGAGGGCTTCAGAAGTTGTAGGCGGGCGAGCAGCCTCCCTGATGAAGGTCAAGCGAGGTCATTCGAGGCCAAGAAAGACCCTCGCTTGGTCCGACATGGCTCTGGAACTGCCCTGGAATTCTGTCAAGGCGGTTAGGGCCTTCGGGGCTCAGGGCTTCAGGGTCTTGGGCACACGTGGCCCCTTACCCTGATTTTGAGGTGACCATTGCCCCGATTTGGTGCTAAACCTTGACCCTTGTTGTCTCATTGACGTGCACGGGGATCGCCGACAAAGGCATGGACACTTTTCCAGGACATTCAGTCGCATGATCTGCCGTACACCTAAAAGACTAGTTCTCACGCATGCTGTTTGCAATCAGGCCGTCTACCTTCTGCTCAAGGGAGGCAATCTGCTTGCTCAAGTCGTCGTGATTCATCTGCATCGGGTGCATCTGCCGGTCTGTGGTTTCCTGGAGTCAATCTCCTTCTCCAAGCTCTCCTTGTGAACATTCGATCTTTGAATGAAATCAAACGCTCAAGGCTTTGAGTTGTTTGATGATGTGGGGTGTTGGTTGGCTGTTTCTTCATTGGCAGACTTTCCGCCAGCGACTTTGCCCGCGGATGCGTTGGGACACCGCCACCACGAAATGTCAGGATGCCCAGACTTTCCAGGTTCCGCAAGCGCTTTTGGGCATAGTTGGGCGCATTCAAAACTCTGATTCCCGTAGCTGTTTTGGCAACAGTAACATGCAACCAGGAGACCACCTGTAGATCAACGAACGAAGTCTCACTCTCCGCTCCTTTGCCTGGCTCGTTACCACTTTGGCGCCACGCGAACCTCCTCTATAGCCAGGCGGAAAAGGACCCAAAAACGGTTCGAAGAAAACTGGTGTGATTGATACCGTATGATACCGTTGCAGCTGCATTTGGGCGCTTTCCAATTCTCCGGCGACTTGCTCTTCTACTTTTGGCTTGAGTTGCTGGACACTGGCACTCGGTGTTCCAGCGCATGATCTTGCATCTGGCATAAAGCGTCCGTGTCGAGGGAGTCCGACCCAAATTCTATGCACCGTTTCTCTTTATCACCGCACGTCACCTCACCACAGTATAGGAAAGACTGCCCCGTCTATCGGCACGACAGCGAATCGTCATAACCTGCAGCTGGAAAGGCCATAGGACCGCATGCTATTCGAGCCTTCTCGACTGATACTGCACTGGGTCGCGCGCCCAAGAGGCTGAAGTCGCCTGCGTAAACACTCTGGATCAAGATCATCGCCCTCGGCCTGGACAGAGTCTTTGTCCGTGGAACCGATATCAAGTCTACATGACAGCCAAAGGCGAACAAGTCACGTATAATGCTCGCAAATTGACCCGCTCGCACCCGTTCCATGTATGTGGTCCACAAGTGGAGGCGTCCGGGTTCTCGCCATGTCACTACAGTTTCCAGCGGGCGCATAGAAGCAAGGCATACCAGTAAATGGCTTCCACCCGTGTCCCACGAGGCTGTCTCGTTGCAGACCGACGGAGCTCAACAACGAAACCAGCGGCTGAAACCTCAGCCACTCTGTGATACTCTGTGATACTCTGTGATATTCTGTGATGCTGAGGCATTCTGGGACTGAGCCTTTCAAGTTGCGAGTTGACCTTCTGCTTATGGAAGAGTGGGGTCACAGAAGGCAAGAAAGCTGCGAACAAAGCAACCCAAGAACAACTCACCCACCCCACTCTCCACCTTCTACCCTCTGCACAACTCCACCAACTGCACGATGTCAGTAAAATCTCGACCAGGCACCACTTCCACTGCTCTTCTACTCTCAGAACCATGACTTCCTTCGCCCCTCGCCATGCACAGCCTGAAGCCTGTGAGCAAAAGTGCTTGTCCACCATACAGGGGTCGATACCATGCTCCTCCAGGGCGGTTTCAAGGTGCTTGCCTGATGAACTCATGAAGTTTGACTGCACAGTCTAACTAAAACCTAAAAAACTCAAACAACAACACCATCGAACCAAGCACTGGAAGAATAGATTTGCTAGACACATTGGTGGATCGGGCCCAAACCTGCAAGCGCACCATCACCGTGGCAAGAAGGTCCACCCAAGCTGCAAAACTTGGAGGTGCTGAAGCATTGTAACCCAGGATGCCAGCAAACTTCATCTGTTCACCGATGTCTTGGCAGCCTAGAGAGCCAAATTTGCAAAGTCCAGCAACCTTGTGGAGATATAAAGACAGCACGCGACTGTACGGATTCCTTGCTAGCATCCACACACGATCCGTCGGGCCGGGCATGGAGTAGTCATACTCCGGCATTCTCTTCAGCATGTCTGCAACTGATCGCGGGGGGCCTCCCAAGGTCAAGCGAACAAACACACTCCAGCGAGCGCATGGCTTGATGCCAAGTTCAACAGGGTTTGCGATCCTCCAAAATGTAGCACGTGCATCAAGGATGCGAAGTAGCGATTGCCATTTTTCTGAGGAACGCAGAAGACGATGTCATCAAGCGGTCTAGGGAGCCGGAACCGATGAGCATGAAGATGCAAAGCTTCTGCATCTCGAAGTAAGTGGTGGTTCCTTCAAGTCACAACGACAACTGCGTGCAATTCTGTGAGCAACCGATCGTGTAGCTTTTGAGGCGTCCACGTCAGCGATTCGACCGCGTCATAGAACTCACGGGGCCCAGCTGATGGGGTGGCGCCATGTGTCGTCACAAAAAGGCAGGCAAGCAAGCCTGCAAACACAACAAGCATTGTACGGCCATTTCTGGCCAGGCTCCGATTGTTTATCCTAGCGTTCTTCCGGGATGGCTGCCACTTGCTGAGGTGACAGACAGACAGACAGACACACACACACACACACACACAGACACACACACACACACACATGAACAACACCAACAGGTCGGTGCATGCAAGCTTGACGACACCTTTGTCTACCCCGCATTCACGCAGCAACTAAGCGAACTCTCAGGCTCCGAAAGCCCCAGTTGCCGACCTTTGCGCCACGGAGGTCGAGGTGTGCTTCTGCGGAAGCGACGAGGTGCCGGCATCAATGTCTGTAAGCCGTTCGAAATCACCATCCACCACCTTGCAAGGTACGACGTTCCTGCTGGGGATCATCAAGCAAATTGGAGCTGGCCACTGGGCTGCATGCGAGGGATCGACAGCAGGTGCACAGGTGCTGTAGCCTCAGCAGGTTGAGAAGGTCCGAAAGGGTCACATGTGAAAACTTTTGCCGTCGAGCAACGCAAGGCGAAGCTCCAACTTGACCAAGCCTGGAGTTGATGTTTGATGAGATGGGCCGAGTGACTTCGTGCCAAGCCAACCAGCCTACTACGGATCCCCTTTCCGCATGACCATGTCAAACAAAGGTAATAACCACGACATTCAGTTATAAGCAAAGATACTTTACTCATACAGCGAATGGATTTGACGGTATACTACAACAGTCGCAAACTTGTAACTAGACTATAGATGGTTCCAGAACTTGCAATAGCATTTTTCGAAATTGATAAGCTTGAAGAATGTTTTGCCTTTCGATGCAAAGATTCTACAAAGTCAAACTGCGAAATGCTCTGAATCCAAGTGGCTAAGTTGATCCGACCGGTTCAATGAAAGCATGAGGTAAATAGATTTTCACCAACTGAATGAATACTTGAGGGGCAAGCCGAGGTCAACGAAAGCTAGCTTAGATTCTACGCGACATAAACCCAGAGTTCTCCATGAGCCCAGCTCGAAACCCAGATCTGTCCCAATGAGCTCTCCTTGTGTATACAGAGGGTAGACATGTATACCACACCGCAGACCACCACACACCATGCCACACCACCACACACCAGACTCCACTGCACCCACGCCCCAAACTACCACGCTTCGAAATGGAAATCTTCATAGTCCAGCTCGTGCATTCATTGGCACTGCCCAACTAGTCCGGGGAGGCCCCCTGGGAGGGTACCCGAAGGTTTGGAAAAAAAAATCGCCAATGCCATCTCTACTTAGTGACAGCTTTCGCGCGACTCCATTGGCACTGCCTCAACTAGTTTCGGGAGGGCCCCATGGGGTGGTATCCCAGGATTTGGGAAAGGCTACCGATTCACAACCAACCATGTGCAGATCGCCCAACTATTTAAATGAAATTAAGTAATTAAACTGAAACTAAATTCAATTGATTTGATTTGTTTAACGAACTTGTGCAACTAAATTAACCAGCTAAGCAAATTAGGATCATGAAAGTGTTAAACTACTTAAACTGAATCAACAAGTCCTATGACATACTTCGTTCGATCGCTTACAGCTTACAAACTTCATGTGGTTGAGCTGATGAAAAGGAGTAAGCGAACCACAAATTAACTTGACAGTTCAACTAACTCCTTGAGTTTCGTTCATTGCCTTAAACCCGCTGTGTTCCATTGAAACATATCAGGCTAAATTCGTGAAAGCAACTAATGTACTCAACAATACTAGCAAGACTGTGAATAAACTATCTCTTCCAATCACAAGTACCGTCCCTGAAAACGTTAGAAGAAGTTATCTTCACAAAAGGACAAGTCTCACGCCCCGTGCACCTTCGTTCTCTCTTCCGCTCGGCCTCTCATCCCCTGTCCCGCCCAACACAGTACACACTTCTCTCTTCTCACCCTCAACTGTCTAAAGCGGGGGTCCAAACCCTACCCAGATTACCCTAGCTGCCATCCACAGATTCTTTCCCTGCAGCGCCCACACCTCGTTTTAGAGTCGACGGCTCCAACATGTCACGCAGTGAGGGCTGAGGGCTGACCTTTCTTGGGTGTTCAGATGTGTAGAGCTTGCAGGCTTGTAGGCATCACTTTAGCAGCCTTCGCCTTTGCATTGTTTGGAGCTCCCCCCACTTTTGGCTGTTGTGGTCGGGGCGGCCCCGGGTCACGGGGCGTTACTGATCCCGGAGAGGCTTTAGCGAAGGTGGCTAGGAATGAATGTTAAATGATTCGGCCCACAAGAGCAGGATATTGAAAACTGCACATCGCTAAACCACCCCTCGTGCCCCGTCCACCACGACGTCAACGCCACGCTGCGAGCTCGAAGCCCCGACCATCCAAGGAGCGGACTGTTCCCGAGGCAATAATGCATCCTGGCCATTTCGACATACAAGAAGCCGTTCTGTTAACAAACAGTACTGCTGAATCGCAAAACTACTTGATTTTTATGCGTAACACTACGCGTCATTGCAGACACTCGCACGACAAGCTCGCACATGTAGCTGCCTCTTTCGGCATAGATCTGGCAGCGTGCGTTTGGCACTTCTTCTGTTCAGTCCAAGAAAGGCGGTGAATGCCACTCTCTCAGAGGGCAAAATCACCCACAAAGTTATGGAGTCCAGGACTGCAAGTAACACTCCTGCGGAGGTGCCCCACGTCTGTCCTTCGATACAAACAAATTATAAGACATGCCCTACACTGTTTCAGGCATGCAGCACAGGTCAAGTCACGACTAATGGAGTAACCACATGGCGCCAGACCACACCAACTACACAACCTATACAGAAGCCTCTCAGAAGCCTCTCCGGCCTCTCAAGCCTCTCAGGCCTCTCAGGCCTCGCCGTTAAGATCCCTAGAGATCCGTTGAGTTCCATTGACAACAAAGTCTGGAGGCAGCTAGGCATCTCAAACTACCTGTTCTTTGGGGCGAACACATCATTCCAAGTAGTAAAAACTGCATGCGTGACCATGCGCGTGTCCCTCATACACAAGAGGATGCCTCAAAGCACCGAAGCCAAGGCTCACCCTAGCATGGCTCGCGTGCCAAACACCGTCAGATACAACTCGCGGTCTCCTGCTTAGATCCTGCCTGTACTTATTGAAGATGTACTGAAGCAAATATCATTCAACGCAAAAGAACAGGTAAGACTCCTCTGAGCCAAACGACCGAGCAACCCTGAGCCTGGGAACCGAGGCAGGCAGGGAGCGAGAACCATGCCGGTTGGCGCGTTGCCAGTGAAGGCATGTGAATAAACGTTTTTCACTGGACGAACGCGAAGGACGTAGAATCATGGGGCAGCTTGGACCGGAGAGTGGAAGTGTCCCACCTTGCGCCGATCCAACATACGAACATCGTCGCCACGTCGACTCCGCACGGAGAAGGAACCCGACGTCCCCAACACCCGCATGTGCGATTTAAGTTATCGTCGACCACGAAGCCTCGAAACCGCCTGTCGCCCCTCTGCCAGAGCTGCCCAATCTTCTGCTGAACTTGCCCACCGAATTGCCGCAAAGTGACGACATCGCGGTGGCTGCAGGCATACGAAGAATATCGCAGAAATGTTGTGGCCATCGTGCAGGAAACAAGAACTGAAGTCGCTTTGTTACGTCGTAATCAAACACGTGTACGCTGCTCCTGACAATCTTGCCAGTGCGACCCACTGCCAAATGTCAGCGGAGGTGGTTCTTCATGTCGGTCCAGCCTGTAGCCACAGCAAAGGATGCTGTAAAAACCGTGTACCACGTCTCATCCAACACCGTATGCCTGAAGTCATGTGGCTCCTTGTATACCGCAGGGTCCATGTTGGCAGCCCCCAAGAAAAGAAGAACCTGCCCATGCAACAAAAACAGGGAGAGGGAGCGAGACAGGAGGGAGGGAGGGAGGGAGCGCAGACCAATCAGGATTGGGGGTCATGAGCCTGATCGCCCTCGAAGGGCATACGTGGCCCACTCCACTTCGCACCTGCACCCGCTCGTCTCACACCCAAAAATGTCGCGACTGGTCATGCCGCAAGCACGTGACAGTTCAGCTCAGAAGAATGTCAAGCGCTGAACCTACTTTCACACATCGGCGGGGATTGCGCTGAAGAGGAGCATCCAACCGGAGAACCTGCACATGAGGAACCACTCGAAATCATGTGGGTCTAGGCTTTGGCTTGCACCAGTTTAGGACGAAATTCCCAGCCATTTTCAAAAAAACCTTGTGTAATTAAACCTCAAACAAACAATCTTGCAATATGACGCCTGCCACATCATTTCATTCATTTCATTGCAGGTTCCAAGCAAAAACAACTAAAAGAGCTAAAGCCAAAACCACGACGCCGCAGGGCCGCTCACCATCAGAATCCAGGTCTAGGCCTCTTGAATGAAGCGATCTGCAGTTCCGGAGATGTCGTCTGTCACCTGTCGGACGTGTGCCTTCTGCATGACTTCACGGAATCCGAACTGCCGAGTTCGGAACCTGCTTGAAGGCATCCTTCTCTGTGGCAAGACGAAACACAAGCCTTGGGCTACTCGCACACTTGCAGCACGAGGATGCTTTTGCAGCAGGAGGAGGCTTAGCGCACACGTCTCATACATCATTACATCACCACAGAGCAAGATGGCGCTGCGGAGAGAATGTTCCATCATGTTCCATCAATATCATTGTCTGCAGATTGCATTCCACATCTTCCGTTTGCACCCCAGAGTGCACCAGGTCCAAGATCCTGGCGAGCATAAGGCGTTCGCAGATGTCATGTTGACCATCAGCTGTACCTGGTCAGTCTGTGAAGAGAGATGACAGAAAAGATGACACAGAGACGTGACTCACAGTCTGTGGACATCTGTGGACCAGTCAAGCGGACCATGAGTGTAAGGCACTCCGCCAAGGCCAGATCCCCAGTCTGAACGCCCTTACGGACAGAGACAGGCCGGCGCCGGGCCCGCGCTATGCTGTGGTGCAAAAGAAGGAGCCAGGAATCTGAGCAACTCGCACTACGTAAACCTTTGAGCAGACCATCAGAGGCATCCTGCCAGATGATTGCAAATTCCGCAGCATTCCCACTTCTCAAGACCAAACCGCCTCTGCCAATAGACTGTGAAGCAGAACGAAGTACCTCAAGCTTGAGTTTGTGGCCTGATTTTTCGACCATCAGCTCTAGCTCTGGAGTACCTTGGACACAGACCTTGGAACCAAAGGAAGGAGCTCCGGATGCCACCACAGGCCTGCAACGCGAGCGAGAAAGAGAGAGAGAGAGAGAGGGAGAGAGAGAGAGGGAGAGTGTGCGGGCCAAACACAATCCCCTTGCCCATATCCTGAGAGAATCTGAGAGACTAGCCCATGCGCGGTCTCTTGGGAGGAGCCAAAACAGTGATATCGGGCCTACACTCACATGCAACTGTCCAACGCTTGAATTGGCACTCAGATACCGAGGGAAGCCTGATGATGTGCCATGTACATCTCACTCCAAGCCGTAGAGCCTCAAATGTTGCACAAGGCTGTTGCCAAACTCATACAAAGGTGGCGTTTTAAATTCGGCTCGACGTGACATGCGTTGGAAGGAAGTGAGGAAGACGTTGCCTTGGCCCAACTGCGCTGAAAGAAATCTGCGACGGAAAAGAATGAGTAAGGAAAGTGGAAATATTTTTCGACAGGAGCTCCCACTATCTCCCACCCACCAGGTTCGACAGCCGTGGCGTATTGACGACATTCCAACCTCCACTCGCCAGCCTACACTTGCGCCAGTGCATACCAGACCACTCCAAACCCGAAGAAGCTGCGACTCGGATGGAGTGGCGAAAAAACCTTTTACCCCAAAACTTTCCCTGAGCCACTTTGCCGTTCATCACCAAAACTCCTGCACTAGATCTTTGAGAAGCTTGGCTGGAAACATGAGACGATCGCTTGCCTGGTCTTGCCTGTATGCCCCCAAGATCCCTCGTTAGTACCCTCCGGCGCATAATGGTCAGGATTCGGGATGCCCAGTCAGGGTTTGGGATTTTCGCATGCTTTTGGCATGCGTAAACAGCTGCTGCCTTTTCTCCTTCTCGGCTGGCCCTTGCCCTTGCCGTGCGAAAGTTCGGAAAACAGGTCCAGGCCGCAAGGATCTTAAACCCCTCTGAGGCTCTGGCACCTAAAGGGTTGTTGGGCGTCCTTCTGCGTGCTTGGGCGAACGTTGGGATGCAACGGACTCGTTTTGGGGGCGTCGGGAACACCATCCTTGGAAAATTCAAGCGGACCCCCGGAGTCTTCAATTCGAAAGCTGCTCGCAACGATGCATTGAAAAAAGCTGGAATGGGCCATTGGGCTACGCATGAGCGAAACAGCAAAAGCTGCATCAATCAAGGAGTTGCTCCCTAAAGTTCTGAACCTCTCCTGCATGCCCATGGCCGGAAAAAAACAAGGTCAACAATTCCCAAGTTCAACGCCATGGACAGGACGGGAAGGAAGCTTCGCACCAAACCTGCGTCAACTGAAACACGAACTCGCTTCGCATGACCTCAACACACGCACACATACATCTTGGGGCCTATGAGCACCCACACCCACCAATGCCATGGCAGCGAGGCATACTTTGGCCCTGCCAATGTGATCAAGTCTGCCACAACGATCAGCGGGAAACAGCAAATTCAAAAAGTTCGGAACCCTTTGGCTGATTGCCGGGCGCCTACTCCTCCAAGTGGTGCCACTAAGGCAACCATGGCATCGTTGAGTTCGATCACCTGGGAATAGACTGAGCAGATTCGGTGTCAATTACATTCTTCTACTACGACAATGCCACATACATCACCAGAGCCCTGAAGCAAGAAGGCCTCGTCCAAGGCATTGGATCCATAGCTTGCCAAGTCCAAGCCCAAGCGGATGAGCGTGCTCGACTCAGCGAAAGGAACATGCGGAGCACAGATGCAAACCTACTGCGTTGGACAACTTTTATCAAAGACATCAGAGGCCACACACCAACTCTCCCTCTCGGACGTTGGTTAGTGTTCGCTCTGCATTTTGTTTGGTCAGGAATTCAGCGCTCTCGCCAAAGGCCGACCCCAGGAACTAGGTGAGCTCACAAGAGGCTATTTCCTGCTTGCCGGTGACTGGCGGAATGCTGTTCAACTGTAGATGATACGCCCAGAAGGCACCACCAACGCTGTTGAATAGGCAGATCGCCAGAACCGGCATGCAGTCAAGCTCACAGGGAGCAGGGACCACAGATGCAAATTACTCCCTGGCTGCCATTGAGTACCGCAGTGACACTCAATGCACGTTGCAATTCGGGCCGCCCCCTCCAAGCCTTCCAGCATTTTCTCTAGTTTACTCCCCCCCTTTTGGGGGCTGCTCAGCTTTTCTCGGCCAGTTCACGCTTATCCTTTCCGAGAGGCTCCGACGACATGGCAGGCCATGAAGTTGTCAAGGCAAACGGGCACGACCCTCGGCCAGACCAAGGGCCCTTCCACCCCTTCAGATTTCACGCACCGCGGAGTTCCATCTCATGAAGTGTAGCGCAGGGAACGAAAATCCTTGCCTCTTCACCGATCTCACTTCCATCCTAATGGACGAACTGCAACCATGTTGCACGAAAGAACTGCAACCATTTTGCGTTGAACCTTTTGCGCCACCACGAAGCGTGCGAAGTGGCAATCGTGCTGCAGCGACGGCAATCGGCTGTGACCGGCAGAAACAGGAACTCACAATCAGTGAGATGATCAAACGTTGATATAACCAGCCCCATACTCTAATTACATGTCATTGAAACCAAACCTGCGTGCCATCGATCCCCTGAATTCTAAGCCCAAAAAAATCAAGAGAATCTGCACTACCCAAGCAGCTTGGCTGAAAAACATGGCTAATTAAATCTTTGACGGGGGTAATTGCGTTTAGGGTTTGAATTCACTTGGAGTCGTTTAGGCTTCATTTACAAGGGTTTGTGGTATTTTGAGTGTTGAAAGTGTGCGTGTGTATGTGTGTATGTGTGCGTGTGCGTGCGTGCGTGCGTGCGTGCATGCGCGCGTGCGTGCGTGTGTGCGTGCGTGACAGTTGTGTATGCATACGAAACTGCAAGCACCGTTTCGACTGCTATCCAAAACGTAGATGGCGTACCGGACGAAGATTGCCCCGACATGATTTCCGAGAACTGATTCTGGGTCACGACCTCCCAGAGCTTCAACGAGCGTGAAGAATCTAGTGTTCCGACGAACTTCACCGCCAACGTTGCTGTGGAGCCATGTTCCCGTGCAGCCCTGGCTGGTGGGTCCAGCGCCCCGGCCCTCACGGCCCCTCAGTCTTTGGGTTTCCGGAGTGATTCCAGACTTTTTGAGCCCACATCCACTCCAGCCCCTGGCCTAGACTTCACTGAGCTATATTGAGCTTTAGCCCACGTTACTGTCACAAATCCTCGATCGAGTTGTCCTTAAATTGCTTTGAAACTTGAAGCGCTCCACCTTCAGCCTCCCAAACTTTGTACCTTCAGGCCTTCTTCTGTTACGTCCGCGGCTTCTGTCCCGACTGGCCCTGCACATGCTGCCAGAACGCTTGCACCGAAAGGCAAGGCGAAGGCAACATCAAAGGCACTCCCGGTTAACCCCAACAGCTTCGAGGAGGCTGCTGATTAACCTCGTTTCCTGAATCAATCTTTGGCGCATAAACCCATACCAACTTCAAAAACCAACAGCCCCGAGGTACTCTCTTGAAGAAGGCCCCAAATGATCTGACTGCGGCACACACGCTCCGCTGGTGGCAGGCCCCCCATTTGCAAACACAATGCTCGCATGACGGGTTTCAAAACGTTTCATATGCTTCGAAGCAAGCCACACGGCTTTCAAAAACAGATCCTGGTCGTACTTACTGCATGAGAGCATACGAAGCTTTCAAGAAAGAAGTCAAGAGGCCATGTGAATGCGCTTGGCCCATCGTACGACATCCACCTGTGCAAGCTTGCCACCACACCGAGACTGAGCCTAACAAGTCACCTAGGCGAGCAGTGTTCCTTGCTAACAAACTGAGATGGCAAGCTGCTTTGCAAGCGCCTGGCCAGCCGATAGCTCCTCTGTATGCATGGCGACGACCTCTCTGCACACTTCAACTGAACACCTTAATTGAACACCTTCAGCACCTTGCCCAAGACGCTCCGAAGCTCATGAGGCTCTTCCCGGGCCTTCCGAATCTGATCTTCGATGCTTTGAACCTCATCCTTCAGGGGCCCGTCGACACTTTCACAGAAAAGCTCACTCATGAGATGTCATGAGAAAAGCCAAAGCCTGTGTGTAGTGTTTGTGGACGTAACGCAGAACGCGCGAATGGTCAGCCTGAAGAGAGAGAGACCATGAAAGTCGCTCTCTGAAGCTCTTTAGTAGAGAGCCATGCACGCAGCATGCACGCAGCAGGACATGAGAACCTACGAGAGGGATGCCTTAGCCATCGTGTTGAGTGCCACTAGCCGGTCATCTGGGAAAGGGTTCGAACTGAAGCACAAGTGGTCATTCATCACCTGCTACGAGACACACTCAAAGTGCAAAGTGAGCATGTGAGCATGCCTGCTGCCTCTTTGCAAGTGGCATAGGAGAAGGCAACAAAGCAGCCAGGCTCGCCACGGACCTCAAGGAGGGCGAGAGGAACAAAGAGGAACAGAGAGGGGCGCGTTCGGTGAGTTGAACAAACGGAAGGTGAGGCGTGCGATTGTGGATTTCGGGGTTGTGCCATGCCTTTGGTGCCTTTGATTGCCGGCCTCCACGAAGCGCTGGCCTGCAAAGCGACGGTGCAGGAAGCTGTTGAAGTCGAGGTGGTGACTTCGGACCTCACAGAGACCCGTGACAAAGAGCCAGACAGCACAAGCGACGGAGAGAGAGAGAGAGAGAGTTTGAGCAACATGAGCTCGCCATGACAAAAGAGCAGTGAAAATCCCACACAAAGGCATGGGTCACAATGCGTAGCCTGACTGACCTCTGGTGTTTCAGCCGCTGTTTCCCTCCAGCAGTTCAACCGGAGTCGCTACGATGCTACAGGTACTGACTGATCCAATGCTGTGAATCTGCGCACAACCAGTTGGTATCAATGAAGATGAAATTTCCAAAACAACGAACATAGCATAATATCAGCTGCCCAGAAAGGTTTCCAAAACATCCTCCCTTGCGACATCCTGTGTGCCCTCTTCAGCCCACGCAGCCTCATGCATGCGACGTTTTGCCATCGGACTGAAGTGACTGAACCCAATTTCGCGTTCATTGCACGATGTTGCATGCCGAAATGTGAAACTTTTGTCTACCTCGAACAGGTTGGTGGGCCAGGTTATTGTCAGAAGCCTTCCTTGCCTTGATTGGCCTCTTTCACTACTTTGACTTGTCCTGTCTGCGCAGCGAGCCACAGCACACCAAGCATTGACTGCTTCCATCCTCAAATCAAAAGAATCTGGCCTCGAGTGCTAGTTTTTGATTGATATACTGCATGATTCTGCATCTGCATGTGCTCATTTCCAGGCCATTGCTGCACCTTTTTTGGAATACGCAAACTGCAACATCCTTCCGTCGACATCTGATCGCGTGCGCTTGTTTGGAACTCCCTGGTTGATGCTGGCGTATGGGGGGGACCGCCCCTGAAGGGTGCAGTTACACGCTCCCGGCATGACACACAGCCACTGCGATTGTCTTCCTACGTCTTTCGCTTCTGTCAAGCCTCTGGATCAACCAGATCTTGGTGATGCAAGAAGTCGCGATCCCTACAGGTAGCAGGCAGCACAATGTCAACACTCGAAATAGGTGGCAATGAGTCTGCATCTGCGACCTGTACGGACCTACGGGCTTGCCGGGCTTGCTTCGCAAAGAATCCTGGCGAGCGCAATGCACGTTGCAAATTTCAAGGGTGCAAACCAGCGTAACTCACCGCCGGGCAAGCCACCATCAAGCATATGAACAGCAGGAAACCCAACAAGAGCATCAAGGTGGCGTGATTCTGCTGCCAGAAGGTCCTGGGATTGACCCGGCAACGGAAAGTAGTCTGACCCAAACTCTCATGTCTCAGGCAGCGGCAACAAGTCCAATCCTTCCATGGCTGCCATTGGAATGCCAAAGAAACACACTGTTTAGCAAGTAACCGTACCGAGAAATCAAATAGAGCCTACCACAAGCAGGCTTTGATGCATTCTGTATCATAGTTTTTGAAATGCACCTTGATCCTATGGTATACGCTTCGCAATGCCACATGATGCCACATGCATCCGCATGCTACCGCCTGCGTGATTTCACTCGCGGCACATTTTGCTCTCACAGACACTGGCACGCGCGAGGCTTTGGGTCTCTTCAAGCCGTCATGGAAATGTTGTCTTGGCTGTGAGTTCCCACTCCTCTGGGCATCATGGACCATCCACAGGTCACAGCCGGATGAGCCTTTGGGCAGATCTTTAAACATCTGGGAGGGCCTGGAACTTGGTGGAACTGACTTCTGTGCGTTTGACAGCTCAGTGGAACACTGCAGCTCCTTGGTGCTTCAGCTGCCGTGGCTTGAAGCCGGTTCTGCTTCGCGACGAAAACGATGAAACGGGTGAGAACAGCTTCAGGAAACTATGGCTCTTGAGGCAAACACCTCAGAAGCACATGGACCCCAAACGATCAAGACATCTCGTTGCTCTGCCTCAGAGCCCGACGGATCGATCTCCGGTGCCTTTCCAGTCGTCAATGACTTGGCGTAGATGAAAACTGTGGCACCTCCGTCTGCAAAGTGGCTTGCAGTGCAAGTGAAAGCGTTCTGTTTGAAACTATTTGAAACTTGACGTGAACTGAGCGAAGCGCCCATGCCCCAGGACAACCCAGCACAGACTCCGGCATCCAAAATTGCTCGATAAGGGTAAGGCAGCTTTTTGACCTTCGAGGTAGTCCAGCGGACACATCTCGTCTACTGGTCTAGTGCCCTTCTCGGGTTCCCTCTCGGGTTCCCTGCGATCGCCACGATCACCATGATCCCAACTATCAGGCCCCACGACACTACCTGCAACATCACATCACAGCACAGGCTTCACTCAGCATCAAGGTCCGCCTTGCGCTTCTTGTGAGCATGGAAGAATGCCATGGCGTATGCGGGCGCGAGCACCTTCAAAGCACCCAGTCAGGCTTCGGCTCCCGTCATCACTCTGCGCATCTTTTCGCAAACAAAGATGCCTCTAAAGAAATTGGGTTAACATGATTGCACATGGTCGCTGATCACTACACAGCTAGTGTTGGACCTCTTGACGACCTAATCTTGTCAGAACGCCTGTCGAATGACAGGCTGCTGCCCATCAAGAAGCAAGGCTCGCCGAACCACAAGTGGTGAAAACTTCTGCTGGAAGCCACGGTATCCCTGCCAGCACCAGAGCAATTTCGAGCTCAGTCCCTGTTTGAAGACTCTGAAGATTGGATTGCTGATGTGCTACACGCTTGGTGCTTTTGCGTCCTCTGCATAGATGAAGAAAAGACCAGACAAAACCTCAGCGATACCCAATGCTTGTGGCAGACACTACACACTCTGCTAAAGAGGAGAGCCACATATGCGCACCAACCAGCAGGTCCCAAGCCTGAAGGCGGTGAGACAAGCACTCAAGCATAAAGGCGTGAGCCCAAGTCAGCCAAAGCCTACTGAGTGCAAAAAGAAAAGCACAAAATTAAAAGCGACGAGAGCATCAAGCGACGCATCTGCTGGGAGCCTACGCGCTACAAGTAAGCAGTGCACATAGACTTTCACATCTAACTGCAAGGCATTGGGGCACGTTGCACACCCCAGCGTCTGAGAAAAAAGCCTTGGCGACGCGCAAAGTGGGAACTGCGCAAAGTGGGAACTTCGAACGGAACTCGAATTCCCGTGCCCAGCCGAAATAGATTTTGTCCGCACAAGGCGTGGGACATCCAAAATTAATGTATCCAACCTTGCGGACCGTAAATGGGATAATGTCACAGACGGTCTGAGGCGTGCGCACAGCGCGAGCAGTGCAGCACGCCCGAACCCACAGAGCAGCGAGCACGGTCATGAATGGCCGACGGCTCGCACATCAAATAGGGTTGAGCGAGGGTTACGGCCACAGCCGCTTTCCGAGCGTCGCCCACAGGCATCGCAGGGACATTGACATGAGCACCAGTCCTCTGAACTGGTGAGAGCAATTTTCCAGTCGGACTGGTGCCGGCATACTGTGGGAAGAACTACGGCCGCAAGTGCCACGTCGTAGGTCAGGCATATCTTCTCCAAGTGGCACGACTCAAGGTCGGTTTGTACGTCACGCTGGTGATAGTGTCTGATAGTGCATGGCTCTCCGGGTTCCTCCGCCTCTACAGCTCCGGCGGAGCAATGCGGAGCACACGCACAGAAAAAGGCCTAAATCAAGAACGCCCTCGCCGATTCTCGCATGTGGCCACTGCCCTTTTCCACCATATGCAAATGAAATGCAAGATAACGCAGGTCTCGCGTGTTCTCGGCGAAAGGCCTAGCTCTTGGGGAAGGCATCAAGCTTGCAGGGGATCTGTTCATGAGTGCCTTGTGGCGCTGTCCCTGTTTTCACCTTTTGCGACGTCCATCAAACCTGCTCCCGCAGCTGGGAATTCGACGTTTCCTCTAGAGCTCTCTCAGACGAAGAACTTCCCAGCGAGAACGCATATAAAGAGGGGTCTTCCAGTGCAAACCGAAAACACGCGAATTCGGAGCTGGAAAAACATGATTCGGAATACCAAACAACGCAGATTCGGGAACTGGGAAATGCGAATTCGAGAAAGCATAAATGCGGATTCGGAAACTGGAAAGCGTGGATTCGGGAACGGATTCGGGAAAATAGGATGGAAAGCGCGGATTTGGAAAACCGTGCCGCGGATTCGGAAACCCCAAAGTTTTCTGAAAGCACCCTGACACGTTACCATCCATCCCCACCCACACCCCCCGTCCACACCCCACCACCCACACCCCCAACCCACACCCCGCACCCACACCCCCCACCACACCCCTCCCCCACCCACACTCACACCCCCACCCTCCCGTGGTTTCCTGACTCGGGCAGTTGCCTGAATCGCGTGTTTCCTGAATCACATGAAACCAGTCTCCTACTTCGGTTTCCTGAATCGCACAAAGCCAGTTTCCTGAGTCGGGTAGCTCAGCTTCCTGAACCGAAGGTTCCTGGGTCCTGCTTTCCTGAATCCTGGTTTACTGAATTGCATGTTGTGGTGTGATTTGTGCCTTGTGCATAATGCTCCTCTCCAAATGAACCACAGCATACCGAAGAATCATCAGCCCTCTTGGGTAACGTCTGAATGGTTGCGTTGCGTGGGGAGAGATGCGGGTCGAGAACCGCTCTGTGACGACAAAAACAGTTCCATCCAGATGGACAGAAAATGTGAGCACTTGCACAAGCTTCGAAGTCTGCTGTGTACACCTGCTGATGGAGGTGGGCTTGAGTCACGTTGTGGCACAAGATGATACAAGATGATGCGAGCATGGTCTGCACGACAATTAAGACCATAAGAATCGGGAGGTGGTTGGCGTGGCTGGGTGCAGATAGGCTGGGTGCAGATAGCGGTTTTTATTTTTTCTGCTGAACTGTGCACTGTGCTGGATTGTGCTGGACTGCTCGAGAGGCTTTTGGGTTATCTTGGGTTTTTACCGTTGTCCAGAAGGACGTGCAACCCGCTTTGCACTCTCTCGCTGCACCTGGGCAAGATCGCCTACCGCCCCATCCCACCAGAGTCACGCACATTTCAGCAGAGTCTCCGCAAACGCCGGACAAATTCCACTAACAGCACCCGAACTTTCGAATTTCAGGCTCTGAGCAAGTCGTCCGAAGTCTTGCCATCAGTAATTCAGCTGTCTGAGGAAGACAGTTTTAACGCAATATGCCCACAATCTTTTGGCCTTGTGAGAAGGGCTGCAATGCCACAGGCACACAACGACGAACTCCGTTGAGCCTGGCATAAGCACGGACATCTCAATTCGCCTGGAAGCAACCAAACAAAAACTCTTGCAGACATGGCACAGCAACAATACCACACCAACAATTGCCCAAGTGGAGCTTGCTGTCGCTCGAACCTTCTGGCCAGTCGCAATAGGACAGGGTCCACGCATTCCATGACGCGATGACGTGTACACTTTGGGACTCGGACGGGCGGAGCTGTTGCCATTTTCATCGTACAGAACTTCTTCACGTACCAGACATTTTCAGCAGAAACACTGCAGATACAGCACAAGACGTGTCGGCACATCACCGTGCGGCACATGAGCCGATGCCATTTGCTCATTCCAAAACACCAGCTGCTTTAATACTTAACTCTAGCCGCTAGCCTCGCCAACTGGCTTAGTATCTTGGCAGGGCTGATGAACTGCCGGAAGTACCGAAACCTACCCAAAACGCCAATCCCGAAATCAATGCCAACGACCGAGCTGTCTTTGTATGCACCATTCGCGCATCACGTGCATTGCATGAATGCGGGTCGCTTTGGACTCCCTGCCACAGCTCATGCAAAGCAGCTGCCGGCACCTAAATCTCGTGCAACATGCCATATGTTGACTCGCTGCAGCTCGTCAAGGTCCAACGCAAACTACAAGTCGCACTCCAAGAAACAGGCCAGCAAACGGCCTGGGTTTTTCCGGTCCTTGGGCAAAAAAATGGCACATGCCATTGCAGCAAACTGTCACTCTCTCTGCTGGGGACATCGCCTGCTGGGCTTCAATGGCCAACCCTTCACAGAGGAACGACCTAAGTGCGCTTCGCTTGGGAGTGGCGTTGTGTTCGATGCAGCTGCGAAAAAACATCATCTGCACGTCATACATGAGTTTTGCCAAGACTATTGCTGAACTTATTGCGGGGGGGGGGGGGGGCTGCACAGGACATGATTTGGATTCGGAGGCTTCGGTTCCGGGATTCAACCGATTCTTCCGAAAGCGTTAAGCGGTCGAAAACGTTGAAAACGCTCGAAATTACGTTCGAAAACGCCCGCGGTGGCGCAAATCGAGCTGTAGTTGGGGAAACCCAGCGATTTGGCATGTTTTTGTTTTTGGAGGTGTGCCATCCTCGTCTTAAAGCTTCGTTTGATGTTCCCAAGAATGCAGAGAGTTCCGGGGATGAGGCACGCGGGGTGCGCCATCCTCGTAACATCTCGTAACCTTCGTGACTTTTAGAGATTCTTTTGTTGTTCGAGTCTCGTGCTGACAGTCACCAGGATGGGGCACGTGGAGCATCCAGGTGACGGTGACTGTCCTTACTTTTGAACCTTGGCTTGGCGCCCACGCCTCCTGATTCCGGGTTTTGCTTCTCGGGGGGAAATGACGAATGAATACAAAGTGTTCCTGATTCTCGGTTGTGTGTATCAGTGTATCGGGGGCGAGGAATGCCCACAAAACGTTCCTGATTCCAGGGTGTTGCTTATCAAGGGGTGAGTGTGAATACCTGCATAGTGTTTCTGATTCCAGGTTCTGCTTGTCGTGGGGGAGAGTGGCGGACACCTACAAAGCGTTCCCGCTTCCGCACAACGTGTTCACCACTCCGGGTTCTGCTTGTCGGGAGGGCACGTGGCAAATACATTCCAAGTGTTCCTGATTCCCGGCTTGTGCTTATCGGGGAGGGGGGGGGAGTAATACCTACAAAGCATTCCTGATTCCAGGTTTCGCTTGTCAGGGGGTGATTGTGAATTCCTACAAAACGTCCCTGATTCCAGGCTTTGCTTACCGGAGGGAGTGAATGGTGGACACCTACAAAGTGTTCTTGATTCCGTGCACGATTCCAGGTTGTGACAGAGCGAGAAAGAGCGAGAGAGAGAGATAGAGAGATGAGAGAGCGATGAGACAGAGAAGAGATCAGAGCGAGAAGAGATAAGAGAGAGAGAGAGATAGGCAATAGAGAGAGAGAGAAAGGAAGACAGACTGATCACACACTTCAGCTCGAATCTCGTACTGAGCACCACGTCTCTTTTGGTTGTATGTAACGCATGTCTGCATTCGGGTTCGTATCTCCTAGCAGGTACTGTTGTTGCTTTTTGGGGGGTCGTATTGTGTTTGTTGTTGTCATTGGGTGCCTCAGCCTATCGAAAGACCCTGTAATTTTTTCGCGTGGCTCCGGACCTCTCGCCGAAGAGGCATGCATGTTTCGAATGAGGCGTCGTAAACATCGCCAATAACGTGGTGTTGGGCTGGCGGAGAGTGCCAAATCTTGTTTTCGCCTGGTTTCGCGCACATGTCGCACTCGAACATGTGCTCCCGCCTAGATCTCGCGAACTCATTGAGGCTCATGTGCAAACTCGTGAAGATGTGCTCCTGCAGTTTGGGCTCCCGGATGCCTTCGTGCGTTCTTTCTAAGGTTAGTTGCATCTCGCAGATATGAATCTATTCATTATTTCTTCTCGCCTTTCGCTTCCTACTCTGTTCCACATGTTCCTCGTGTAACTATTTCCGTGATATCTAAAATGGAAAGCCTCTATCACCTTTAGGACACTCGCAGAGATCTACAAATTTCAAAGCAGAGAGAATGCACATCACAAGATATGCAACCCTGGACGCGAGTTTTTGTTATCAACCACTGGAACTCAACATCCATATTGCATTCATCTGGCTTTGCATCCTGCTGCTTTGGCCTTTGAACTGGATTCTCGTCTTTTCCAGACTTCTCGCCCCCTCTTCTCGCCCCCTCTACCCCTCAATCGCTCTTGAAAGGCGTCCCAGTGGTCACCCCGTCCTTCCCGAACTTCCCGCCGATCAGGAGAGGGCAGTCTCAATCAAGACAGCATGGTTTGTTGCAAGGGGTCCCGTTGCCTTCCCATCTAGCTTAGCAGCTTTCTCCTGCGAGCCGGGTTCTTCAGGTCCACGAATCTGAGAAAGTTCTTGAATTGATCTTTCTTGAACAGAGCCAGGATTCCTTCTTCAAAGGACGTGGCCTTTTCTCCACCTTGAACCGATGTCTAGTCGACTGCCCGTTCTTAGGAAGCCGAATAGCACCGTGCAGTTTGCGCCCTAAAACGGGATACAAGAAGACAAAGCGAGCAATGCTCCGCGACCAGCGTCGTAGTATCGTCTTGCCTTGTCTTCCTTCGTAGGTTCCTCTTGTATTCCATTATGGTCTCACTTGTAGCCCAGGAGCACGATGCGGTTGAGAGAACCTTGTCTTTTTGCCGGGCCAGTGGCGCCTGCTGACTTAGTTAATAGAAAGCCCCTGGCAAGCAGACTGGCGCCGAAACACTTCTTGGTATATGCACTGGAGACAGCTTCTGTCTGTGACATGTGTGGTTGGTTATTGGGCACATCTGCACTTCTCAACAGTCATTACTTTTGTGCAGCGCCCCCTCTTGCTTGCATTTTGCTGGGGCATTGTCTGTAGCTCAACCCTCCTTTCCGTTTATGCTGCTTGCCTTCTCATGGAATGCGCTCGTTACACTTGGCATGTTGTTCTCCACGGTTGCCAGCATGATCCTGGCATGGGAGGCGCACAAGTCCTCTTGATGGCATGATGCTCTTTACAGCAAGTTTGCACGGCTTCAGAATGCCGGGGGGTCCCCTACAAGTGTGTAGGACTGGCTTCGACAGGATTCACATGTGGTTTGATGCAAGAGTCTCTGATGGCACGATGATGGGAGAAACAAGACCGAAGGGCTTCAACAACAAAACGGCGAGAAGTGCAGTCCCACTGACCTTAAATGGTGGAGGTTGGGGGATGTAGGAGGGGAGCTGACAGGAGCTGGCACCCACAACCCTAAACTCTCTTTGCCTTTGATAATTGTGCCTGCGCGTTTTGTATTGGGACCTGTATCAGGCGACTTGTAACTGTGAAGTCTGGGATATTTATTTGAGCAACACCATAACGTGGGCAAGTGGTAAGAAATGAAGCAGCCCGGCCCGCCCCCTCTCCCCACCACCATGTGTAAACACAATGCTCGTAATTCTCTCACTCTGTCGTACACATGTACGTGTTGTTGCCTTGGTTTCTTTCGTTTCGGACTCCTTTGCTTTCAAAAAACAGCCTCTTCCCTCTTGGCCCTGATTGGTTGATTGGGCCGTGTCCACGAAGGCCCACCAGGCCCACCTTTGACCCCTTACCGGCGTGCGGGCCGCATAAGGGCCGGGCAGGACAGCTGGCAGGAGAATGGGAACTCCATGCCGACTGTGAATGCCCTGTCCAGTGACGATAGCCTTTGCATCATTTGGCAATTTTGTGTGCACCGATGCACTGTGCACTTGGCTCCCTGCCAAGCCCTTCCAAGCACAGAAGTGATGCAGAGAAGCCTGTGAAAGGAGCAGAGCACCTTAGAGACGGCCACATTATAAACACACCTTGCGCTCAACAATGTGCACGAGTTTACGAGGCCCAAGTAAACCACTGACGGCAGCGACAGCCACAGCAGGAGAACAGGTTCCTCAGAGATCTTAGAGCAATGCTCGCCGACAGGCCAAAGTTGAGCCAAGTGGTGCTGGGGTGTCGTCCAAGCTGGTGCAAGTCCAACGTTGATGGGTCCTGCGACATTCCAGGACTCGACGGACTCGAAGGTGTGGATTTTCGGGGTGTCGGGTCAAATTCACTTGCGTTATGTTCTCTGCATCTGTGAACTGTCTCACTTGCATCTGCTTCTCCTTTCGGGACTGCTTGGGGACTTCCAAACACAAAGTGCTCTTTTCTTGGTTGTGAACCATGTGTGGGGGGTCTACGTTGACGGCTGATTGCATGTAAACCAAACTTAGGGAAGGGCTGCTTAGGCCTAAAATTGGTGTGAGGGGAAACCATTTGTAGAGCGAACGGTGAGTGCGTGAATGCTGCATGCGCAACGAGGTACAAGCAAAGGCCAGCAACGTGTGCTCGCACTCGACGAGCAAAAGGAAGACTGCACAATGCAGCAGACAGCAACGAAGCTCTCTAAGGACGACGCCCAGAGCTCTCAAGGGGCGACGCCCAGGATTTCCCTGATAGCAATGAAACCATATGAAACTATGAAACCAATGAAGGAGCAAACAACGAGTTTTCATGCAGATACATTCAAAATGCGCAGCCCAAAAGGCCATCAAAGGCGTCAGCGGTGCGGCAAGGTGTTAAAAAGGGGAAAGAGTTCTCGGCAAGCAGCCGCGATGCACGCGATACTAGGCGTAAAAGGAGTGCCGACCCAGCGAGGCACCCAAGGAGCATCGGAAGCACTTAGCCGTGATAAGCAGCCGTTCTCAGCAGGAAGCTCAAAACGCCCGCAGGGCGGCCAAAGCGCAGCCTGCGCAAACCGTCCAACGAAAAAACGTGTGGCTTCGTCTGCTTCTGGCGCAGGAGCAACGCACTGAGCCTGCCACAGCAGAGGCCCCGCTCGCAGATCGAGGGAACTGTTTGTAGAGTCTAGGGCGTGTAGGGTTAGAGTTCTTAGTATTAGGGTTTCGTGCTTTGTGCTATCACATCCCCGACGCTTTGACGGGGATCCTCGCTCCCTGCGCTGTCTCAGACCAACTCGCTCAGGCAATGTCGGATACCGTTGTTTTGGCCACGTGATCCAATGAAACCTATTCTGACATTATAGAGCTGCAGTCGTGCTGCTCATCTTCGCACGTGCTAGCAACAAACTCAACGCAAAAGACGAGTCCTGCCACAATCGTAGCACGCCAGCCTGCTCATACGGGAAAGACATCACAAGTGCTCGACGAACTTGCGCAACGTCACAACCAGGTTTTGAAGCCTCCTGGGCAGACAGAAGCACGTTCCACGCGTCAGCATGTCGCCCGGCATCAAGCAATACATCTGCGATGGCAACTGTGGGTCCCAACCTCGGGCAGGCGATGACATGTTGATGTTTCGAATTAATGGCTGGTGGCTATTGGAATCCACATCTTCTCAAGCACACACAGCACCGTCTGCCCTCGCTTTGGTCGGTTTGGTTGGTCTGACCATTGTGAGGTTCCAACCAACACCTTTAGTGAGCGCTCGAATTTTGACTGCTAGCTCGCAAAGTCTTGTATCGAGAGCCAGCGTCGCTGCTGGCACTGTTACAGTGTTCCAGGATCATTTTCGGCAGAGTTGCGAGGGGTCCACTGCCAAATTCTCTTTGGAATCTGCGATTTGCCATGATATGTCTACTTCCCTCAGGGTGGGAATCTACCTTTGTCCCTCCGATCTTGCTGAAGTTCGATCCTGAATGATGGCTTCAGGGTCTCGCTGCAGCTCTGGACAATGGTTGCGCAGGGCTGGTTCCTCTTCTAGTAACTCTAGTATCAGGTAGCATTGGCGGCGCGCCATCTAGTGATCTTCTCCTACAGGCTAAAAGAGGACGATGCGAAGGCAATGGAACTTGCATCTGAGATGCAGGTATGTCGAGTGCACAGAGCAGAATGCGAAACAAGAAACCTGAAGATTTGAGGCTATCCCAGCGCCGCACGTCTGATTGGGCACCCACGCCCCAACTGCCTGAGGCGGAAAAGAGTGCAGGGGCCGAGGGGCGCGAGTAGGGGCCAGGGGCTCCGTTTGTGTACAGTTTCGCGCCTGTCCGTGCATGAAATACGCCAGCGCAGCTTCCCAGTGCAGAACACTCAACCTCGAAGCCAGCATGTTGCATGTTTCTCAAAACAATTCCGTTCCGTCCAAGGGTGAAGCCATTCGGAAGCAAACGACGGCACATTCACAGAGAGCCTCTGTGCCTGCAATGGATTGTCAAGTGGGCAGCATGTTCCTTAACCCTGGAGTGCTGGAGTGTTGGCCTCCTTCAACAGCTTTTGCTCCATGTCCTTGCGACCTGCCTCGGAATGCTATGAATCTCTACCACGTGGCTCAGCAGATGCCCTTGGACCACTGGAAGCCAAGAAATGGATGCCTCAGCACATGCCTTGGACACGATCCCATACTGGACAATGACATCGCTACCTTGGATGCTCAATTCCACGCCGCGACAATTGCAGCTGCCTGAAACATCTGAAACCAAGTCCTGTCAAGGCGCTCAGGGACGGTCCCTCAAGCTTCCGCAGCTCTTGCAGGTGCTGCAATGCGTCCGACCAGTACTGGGCGTAGGCGAAAGCTGCAATCACAGCCTCTTACATGTATGGCCGGGAGCTGCAAAGGAAACAAGATGGAGCAAGCATGTGTGGCGAACAATGCTCGCCTTGAATGTGGGCAGTGTCGGCAAGTGATTTGCTTGACAGAGCTCAGAGAAAATCCTGCCCACATCGTGACACGTAACATGTTCAAAGCCTTCTCACAAAACTTGTGGACGAGGCTTACATGGCTTACATTGCATAAGCGAGCACTTCAGGGGGCACCTGTTTGCTTCTTGCCATCGGCTTGCTTCTCGACAGACGCCCAGCGTCGCGTTGAAGGAAACTACATCTGCTCCAGCCTTCGACCGCATCTCCTCGGGACTCATCGGGCGCATTGGACGTTTTAAGCTTTCTGACTCACGGATACTCACGGTACACTTGGGCACGAACCTCGTGCAGGCAGATGGCCAGCTGCCACTGCGCCCCCGGACTGCCTTCACAACACGGGATACTAAAAAATGTACCTGGATAAGCAAGCTGCAAGCTTCTTCACGATTGCCAACAGCTCGGATGCCAACATGCCGAGATGAGCGACGTGTAGCACAGAATGTCTGGCTCCTCAGACCTGACGCAAATATGCCGAGAATGTGACATATCCCATCCCAGCAAGAGGTGCAGCGGCTGGGCCGTCAGTCGGTCCTGTTCAGCATTTCTTTGAAAATGTCCAGGGCCACATGCAGCTGCCCAGCCTGGCATGATCATCTGATCCCAATGCTTTTGATGTCTTCCGCCTAGCGACCGGTATCATCTAGCAGGCCTTGCGGCATGAATTGATGCAGAGGTTCAGCACAATCTGACCGGGCTCCAACCTGGACTGACTCATGGCGCTTGTTCAGCAGTGGTGCCCACAGCCCTCACAATCAACACTCGTGCGGGACCATGCAGGTGTGCAACATCTTCGATATTCGTCGTAAAGAAATCACTCTGCATTGCATGGGATGTTACGTGGCTGGCTAACACGTCAACCTTGCTGGGCTACTTGTTGTTCCCTTAGTAGCCTGGATATGTGCTCAAAGTTAGCCGCACAAACATATCACACCGGGATGAGACTTGAAAGTTTGTGCGCAAATGTTCGATTTGAGTTTCCTGCTTGGCTGCCTGCAGTTGCCCCAAGAGCTGCAGAGACACCTGCAAGAGTCCAACAGAAAAAAGACAATGGCCCAATGGCTGCACGAGGCCTTCAACATGCGTCACACTTGGCGTACGTTCCCTGACCTGCCACTGGAGTGCACTGCCGCAGGCGCTTATGGTGGATCCGTAGGTGGCCAAGGTTCGCCGCAACGCTGCCTCCCCGGACCAAAGCTGCCGCACAACAAACGGGGCCAAAAGCCAGGCGAAGCAAGTTTGCAAGAAAAGCGTCTGTGGAGCTGTGCGGATCAAACAATCCTCTTTCTTCGCGCAACTTGCTGAAGCTGCAAGCTCAGCATGACAAGAAGATACGGTGAACCGTTTCGGCAACATAGTCCGGATCTTCCAGAACAAGGAAATGTCCAAGGCCATCAGCTGGATGCACCTTGATGTCAAAAGCAAGATGGCGCCTAGATCATTCTAATTCTGGTAGTCTGGGTATTGTGCTACCATGCGTTACCAGTGAAGATGAGGAACAGAAGAGCCTGGCAGGCATCGAGCCACAACCTGGTCCGCTTGCTGTCGGTCACGCTGGAGGGCACTCTCCTCCATTCAACTCACAGATTCCTTCTCTTGCAACAAACGCTGGAACTTCGAAAAACTGGAACAGTCCTGATCTTCGGGCTTGGCACGGCGCTTAGATGCAAGTATTAACTGGACCTTCATGTCGTGCAGCCATGGATCGAAACTCAATCGCACATTGATTTCCACATTGTGTCAACTGAAACATGCCGACCATCCGACGACGCCTCGGCATTCACCTGCTTCCCAGACAAGAAGTCTGCAAGAGCCTCTCACAAGCTAGTGCCGCTATGCAGGGCGTCACTTGATGGCACTGAATGGCACTATAGATGGCACTATAGATGGCACAGGCTTCTACTTCATGCACGGGCCAAGGGCCCAGCAATGCGATTCGCATAGACCTCAGCCTCGTTATCACGGCGACAGAGCAGGCCTAGGCCGCACAGCACACACCTGCATTCACACATGCACAAACATTCATGCAAACATGCAGTGTTGCCTGAAACCGCAATGGTTGGCAAGTGTGAGAACGCGGCGCCATCGACCACTGTCATTGTAGCTGCCGAATGCGGCAAACGCGTCCTTGGCCTGCGAGACTTGCGCTGGCCAAAATGACTTGCACAAAACGACGAGGGTCAGTGTCGGGCACATGAAACAACAATTCTCTGTGGGCACACTATGGCACGCTATGGCACAGGCGCTAATAAAAGAGCTCTTTAAAAAATTGTGTCAAGCATTTTGAGCTTTCCTCTACGTGCTGTTAACGCAGTTGGGGTGTCATCCCAAAACCGAGGCTCCTTCCTCTTGTGGTGCACAGACCAACAAGCGGAGTCTTTAGCGTCTCTTTTTAGTGAGTCATGTGAATGTTCACATGATTCACCCCATCAGTACTCACTCAAGTAGACAGTCGTGGTGTAACTTCGCTGCGTTTCACTTCCGGAAAAAACACTCCTGCAATCACCTAATGGAGCTTCATGTTCAAGCGCTTCTGCTGCCACGAGGCCGGCGAAGCTGCATGCGATTCAGGGCCTGGTTTAGGGAACCTCGTGCAGGCTGAAACCCATTGGAGTCAGCGAACCCCTGCACCCCACCGATGGAAACCGAGAAGCCTTCAAAAACCGTTGACTTTCCAACCAATCGAAACCTCCACAGCCAAACTCCTTGCACAATCCAACTGTAAGAGTTCATGACTCATGACTGGCAGATCCTCCGGATGCAAGGATGGGCGAGCCAGCGCAGCACGAAGAACTCGCTCCAGCCCCTCACCCACAGCTTGCTGTGAATCAAAGCCATGTTCTTCCTTCTCGCCAAGCCGTCTGGTGCCCTTCCAGGAGCACACACAGTATGTAAAAAACAGGACGAAAACAGGTAACAAAAGAGCACAGCTGTTCCCAGACCATACCAGCCCCCCGAAGCCTTCGCTAATCGTTCGGCTCCAATTTTGGCACCCTCAGCATCTGCTAGAACTGGATCGAACATCAACAGCTTCATGTCGGTCCGCCTTATCTTCCAGCACTTCTCTCTCGCAAGATCTGAGATATCTAAGCTCGTGTGAGTTCCGCTTGTATCGTAGCCAGGGAAGCCGCGGTTTTGCTGTCAAACCAATAAGCGCCGTGTCTCCTGTCACGACACAACTGTGGTGTACCGCTACCATATTCGCTGAGGCCCTAGGCCGCGGGCGTTTGCGGTAAAAGAACAACACCACCCTCTTTGTTTCTGGAACTGTCTCTTTCGTCCAATATGAAATTTTATGAAATTCTTTGGAGCCCCCTTATCCCTTGTAGACCTGCTATGGACCCCCGTGAACCCGGTTCCTTTCAACCCACAAGAAGACCCATATCAGCCCCTGTTTGGAGCTTTTCCCCTACGGGCCTACGGGCGGATACGGGCGGTGCCTCTATGTGCCTCTCAAAATCTATACGTACGTGCTGTTTGGGGCCTTCTTGGAACGGAATATGGACCTTTATGGACCCTCAAGGAGTTGTTGCTTGAGGTGTGGTGCCACCCACACCTTTCAGCCATCAGAGCGTGATGTTTCTCACTCTTCGCTTGAAAACACAAGAAACAGCACGCAGAGGAATTTTGTCAAAAAGGTGTGTCGGATTATGCTCTTAAAGGTGTGGCGCCACCCCATACAAGATTGATATTAATGTTCTTGAAGCAAGCTTGTGCAGCTTAGAGGAGTGGGCAACCACATCCTCCGCCTGCTATTTCTTGAAAGATCAAGCAAAGAATGGCTTCGCCACACCGTAAACAAACACTCACTCACCACACCTTTGAAGCGAAAAAGTGCGGCGCCACACCTTTTAATAATCACAAAAGACCGCCCCCAAGCCCCAAACCCGGGCCATAAACCCCTTGATGAACTTACACTTCGTGGACCCGCTATGGAGCCTCTTCTTCTGCTATGGACCCTTTTTTGGGGGGGGGGGGGGCATGAAGGGCCGGCCCCCATGTTCGGGGTCATCATTGGTAGGCCGGCGATTGGTGGGGGGGGGGATGAAGCACGTCCCGTAAAACGAAGAGCCTCACTGAACCTCGAGTGGACTTTGCAAAGCCAGGCGTGCCCCCAACTTTGGCTGGACTCCCCACCAGTTCTTCCAGCCGTCGTACGTGGCAGTGCACTTGTGCAGTTGACCCCGGCAAACGAAATGCCCACAACACCCGCCTCCTCAAGCAAGACGCAAAACCCTCTGTGCCTGGGGCTAACACTGCAGCACTGCACCAAAAAAAAGAAGCTCGCTTCCCCACTCCTACTGGGCGGTTTGCTATCCCCACCTGCAACCCTGCCCATGGACACCCTCCTATCAACCCCCCAAACCTGCTTTTGCACCTGTACAGACCCTTACGGAACCTCAGAACCCGAATTCTGTGTGTGGACCACCCCTTTCGGATAAATGCCCCTTCTGGCGGCATTTGAGATCTACAGTTTCGACGTTGCACCTTTGGAGAATGGCAAAGCTTAACTCTGCTTTGCTTGACGGTTTAGGACCAGACAACTCGGCGGCGCCGCCGAGGCGGGGCGCGGTAGCGCTAACATTCTCAGACTGTACCACCAGTGTGCCATCACTATGCCACTTGTGCACAGAGATGAGGTCCTGCAAACGAATGGGTGATGCAGGCAGCCGGGCCACGGCCATAAAGCTTGGAAACGGAGGTCGTCAGTCGGATAAAATCCTGAGGAAGAAACCGCAAAGCTTCTGCCAAGAAAAGTGTTACTTTGGCACACACGTAGGCCTCCCCGAAGGCATGCCAGGAGTAGTGCGGGCAACCACTGGGCGCATCTGATTCACCATGGCCGCGCAGGTCACCTGAGCATGTTTCATCACATCTCCCAGGAAAAGACCAAATCATGGCAAAGCATCACCCAGCATTTGTTGTGATTGGTTCAACAATCTGAGCAAGGAGTTCGTGAGACATTTCTTGTGCGGGCGAGGATCAAGCCACCACCACGCAGTCCAAGCGGCTGGCCAAGCGGCTTGCTACAGGTGCCCACACACCACCGCAAAGGCTCGCAGCATGAAGGCAAAAAAATAAAGGACCCTGCAAAGGAGCGATGGGACCGGCATGCTGGGGAGTGCTAGGAATTCTTGCAATTTTCACTATTCGAATCGGCCTGCGAAGCTGAACTTCCCCACTGCAAACATCCTCGCATGTCAAGCTTGATCCTGACGCTATTAGTCATGACATGCCGTGGCACGCCGTGGCTGGACCCTAGGATTCATTATCGGTGCCCTTCAGTGACCCATCGTGCCGAGGCTCGATGGCGAAGACCGCCTTCATCTCTGAAGTCCAAAACAAATTCCTTGATATTTGCACGATGCATGCAAGAGCTGTACGCTTCAGCACACTTCCAGATCTTCGAAGGAGCTTTGTCAGGCTTTGCGAAGGAACAGTGACGAACTACTCCGCACGCATTCACCTGCGCGGAGGTTGGACTTGCTTTCTGAGAGTTTCTCACACTTGACTCCCCTTGGTATGCAGAAATGATCAGAAATGCATAGCACATCATAGCACAATGAAGACCTTGGCATCCTTGGCAGTACGCACTAGTCGTCCTTACACGGCAAATACCAGTCACTACACAGAACTTCGGCATCCAATCGTTACCATGGGTTCACCGCAACACAAAACCCAGTTTTTGGCGAGAGGCGCAGCATTACGCCACATCACAGAGCGCCATGCAGCAGCTTGTGTCGATGCTGTGAGCCCGAATGCCAATCTCACATCGAAGTCAGAGCGATGCACCCACAACGTGACGAGTGCTCCTCAACTGCGCACCTTGTGCATCTCAAGGAAAAGATCTACAGCCTTCACAACTCCATGCTGGCACTTTAGCGAAGTGCTAAATCAATCAAAGCACCGGCTGCCTCAAGCCAGCGGGATCCTCGATCACAAGCGGCAAGCGCTGCATTGAAGACAACGCCGTCCCCGTCAATGTTGCAGTGCAGCATCCGAGAAAATACCTCTCAACACCAAACTAGCAGAAGTTTGACACATGACTGGTTCCTCTTTGGCAGTCCTGCAACGCTTGCTCCCAGGCCCGCCCACGTTCGCAGCTGGACATAACTGTGCCTGGACAGCGCCAACTCCAGCGGTGAAGTCGACGCGGAGACTCAGGAGCCAGCTGTAGCTAACCACGTTCGGTTGAATTCCATAGTTGGCCATCTCGTCGAGAAAAGCCTGGGCACCTAATCGAGCTACATAGCCGAATGCTCCCAGGTGCTTCAAGATCTGCAATCAAGGCCCTGACGTTGCCAATGCCCCCCGCGATCATAGGCAGACAGTAAAGTATTGCAAGTGACCTCAAATACAGGATTGAACACGGCAGCTCATGCTTTCCAATCCTCGCACATTCATGCAACAGATCCTAGCCCCGTGGCAGCATCTGGTCGTAGAACATATCCTTGATAGCATACTTCCTGACCCTTTCACCACTGCTTGAATGCCATCCAAAAAACACGATCAATGTGCAAATCAGTCGCGATGAATACCATGGAACAATTCTACCGCAGCTGGCCATCTGTAAGCTCTCCTGGCTGGTAACGTGTGTTTTTCTACACCCGTACTACACCTCGCCAGCAGCATACTTGCATCAGCAGAAACGAAACTCTCGGAGTACATGACTATACAAGTGAACATAATCCAGAGCCGTGACTTGTCGAGCAATGGAATGGCAACATTGGCAGCCGACAGTCAGCCTCAAAACGAAAACAAGACAAGCCAGGAATTCCCCAACGACGACATTGTCGCATTGAAGGCTTGTACTGCGACACCCTGTTCGGCTTTCATGGCCTGTCACAGACACTGGCCTGCTATGGCCTGCTCGGCCTGCTCACAGACTCATGTTGAGCTACAACTTGCGCCTCCAGCATCCGACCAGCGTGTTCCCACAAGCCTACACGGCCCAGTGCGCTGATGGCAACCTGTAGACAAAAGTTGGCTCAAAAAGCGAAAGCTATGTACAAGAGCACTAGAAGATTCCGATCTACATAGTGGATGCTGGACAAAAGGGAGAATTGATGAGTCAAGGCTGAGGATTGAACCACCCAATCCCGGGCATCCCTGAGCAGCTGCCAGCGATGACACCTGGCCAAACGATGTGGAACCAAACGAAGAAACTTTGATCGGCTGAGCATCGATCTTCCAATGCTTGAAGCACATCCACAGTGCTCATGCTCATTAAGGCCAAGAACGAGTCAATTCTCTAGCCAGCCGGACTCTTGCACCACTGACAGTACCTTGGCATCAAAAGCAGCTGTGTGTAAGACAGTGTAAGCGTCTTCCTCGACATGGTCGGACCTCATCTGGAGACGTGGTGGTCCTGCGCAAGTCAGTGTGGAGCCTGCCACGGGAGATTGTTTGTTACTAATCAAACTCAACGTTGTGTGAGGGCAGCTCGAAAGCTATTGGGACGGATCTGAAGCAACTCATACTACCGTCACTCCGTGAACTATAACATGCCAAACCCACAGCAGGTGCCACGTCGACATCACGAACAGCGTAAACAGCACAAGCTTGCTGACCATCCGTTTATGGGAACTCCACAACATGTCAGAATTCGTGCCATGAAGATTTCGTGTGTCTTTCTGCCACCTGCCCATACATCCCGTCCTAAACAAGAATTAAACACGAACATATATGCTTGGATGACATGCTGCCTGCGAAACAAATTCCGACGCTCATCACGGGTCAGCTGCGGCGGCAAAGCCCCGCGACTGCAAATTTCATCCCGCAAACCTCTTGCAAGTGGGGTTTCAGACTCAAGTTCGACGGCAACAGTACACCGCAGTACATCACTGTGTGCAGGAACCACCTTCACCAAAGTGGGAATCGAGCCTGAATGCATTGTCACAGCATTGTCAACGGGCTCTGACGCAGAGATGTTGAAACGCCAATGAAAATTACTTGGGCAGAAGCTTCAGCCGGCAGCCGCGTGGAAACAATACGTATGCCCTGTCAAATACAATGTACAGGCTGTACAGGATCAACAAGCTGCGACTCTTGCCGGCCTACTGGCGGACCGGGTATTGAACATGAACTGGATCGGTCCATTTTTGCACTGCACCTCTATGATATTTGCTTCCGATACATGCGTACGAGAATCGTGACTTGTAGTTGCACGTGCATACACCTTACACCTGTATCCATGTGCCTTGTGCCTCAGAAGGGCAGGTTGGAACCAGGCTTTGGCACTTGCCACAAACAATACAACAACGCCAACATTTTCTAAAACGCTCCAAAGACAATATCCGCTTTATCCGCTTTCAAGAAGCTTGTACTGTGGCTGCTGACAGGGTACGTAACAACTACATTACCATGCATGTAACAACTTGACAATGAGGTCAGGTCCGGCGAAAGGCGCATCTGGGGGACCAGCACAAAACATCAGCCAAAGACAACCACTCTCCGCGCAATCTTGGCCATCGCTCTGATCCACTTTGTTTTGCGCACCGCACACCCCAAAGAGACAAGCCTCCGAAAATTCGGCAGGTCCCGCGCGCATCCGTTCACAATGAAAACATCGTGCAGTAAAAATGCAACAAACGAAAAAATATAGACATGGAAGATGACATTTTGCGTAAGACGCCTGTCTGGGTTTGAAGTTGGGAGGTGGTGCCAGAGTCTCTTAAGACGAAAGATGACGAAAGAGGCATTGACATGGCGCGGCACCCCTATGAATCCATGAATGAATGGAGGTGAAGAAGTAAAGGTCGCAAGCATACACAAGTCTAGAAACGGCACATGAAAAAGATGCATGTAAGTCCCTTCCAGCTGCAGGTCCTAGTAATCTGAGGCGAATTTTGAACATGCTAGTGCAATGCCGAGTTTGTCTTATAATTGAAGTTGTTCGACCTGCTCTCTCTCCATCTCTCACACTGTTGAGGTTGAGGTATGCTGTAATCCAGAACAAGATACAAAACACAGCTGCTTTTTCAAGCAGTTCTCAACACGAAAAACAAACTGTAGGTGTTGTTCCAACTGTATTTTCATGACAGGTACTTACAACGGAATTTTCAGTCAACACTGCATGACTAATTGTGGAAAAAGCCATTAGCAAAAAGATGCCGAACTCGGAGCTTTTTATCATGCTGGCTCTGGACAAAACAGTTGGCAGGCATGGTGCGAGGTGGAAGACGGACCCACGGCAGATATCCCGCACTTCGCATTGGCGACTCCACTTTGAAGCCGTAGTTTGGAAAGTAACAGTACTGAGTAAACTCATGCGCATCACTGCGCATTGTAGACGTTGTTTTCACTTGCGTCGATCTTGCAGTGGCTTGAACATGATAGGTCAAGAAACCAGGACCAGAATACTAGACAAATGGACACTGCCCTGGGCCTCTGTGCATTAGTGGAAATGTCCGAAACACGATCAAGAACTGCACTGGGTGCTGACTGCACAAACCAGTGAAGCACATACTTTGGGTTGTCGGATGAGCAATTGCGGACAGCCGTCTTGAATGATGAAGTGTCTGTTGTCACACAAGACAACGTGGTGTTCTGTCAATGGAGAACCTTGCGATCCTCCTCCATGGACGAGCGGAGTGACCAGCTCTGTATATATAGACTCGTGACGAGACGAGATGCATTTTCCACCAGAGGGTCGTCTGGGTTCTGCTTGATCTTCTCGCTCAGCTTGGTTGCATCCTGGAAATGATATTCGTCTCCCTGTGTGTGCCCTAACTCGGTGTAACACCAAGAAAGAAACAGAGGACTGCTAGAGGACACTCCGGAGCACCTTCTTGAGCTTCTCGACAGCTGCCTTCTTCAGGAGCTCGTCCGCTTTCGTCCAGTCGGCCTCTGACAACTTCGCTGGCACAGCACCCTCCTCAGGGGTGGGTCTCTCGCAAGCTGTCGTGACCTGCTCACAAGCCCGCCCCTGTTCCTTTCTTGGTGTTACACCGAGTTAGGGCAGGGGTAGGTCTCTCGCGCACTTGGCAGGACATCCTTTTGGGTGCTGCCGAAGCACTCTCATCGCTCTCGCGAAAAAAACAAAATCGCAATGCACAGAGGCCTGCCGCACAAAAACCTTTTTAAACACTCTAGAAACCTCTATATTAATCCTGAACCCTGAACTGCCCTAAACCCTAAACCAACAAAAGGAAGATTCTGTTTGCATCTTTCTTGGCAGGCTGGGTTTTGTGGCACGGCTGACGAAGGTCTGCTCCAAGAGGTTTACAGTTTACAGAGTGTGTGTTTGCATTGCCACAAAAGAAGATTCAGAGTACTCTCTGGCAGGCTGTGGCTGGTTTTGACTCCAAAAAAGCAAACTCCCCTGTTCCTTTCTTGGCGTTACACCGAGTTAGGACAGAGGAGGGCAATGGAGGGCAGCATCGCCATCCTCAACGATTAGTGATGACCATATCACTGCTCTGTCCCTTCTGTTGGTGTTACACCGAGTTAGGGCAGGGGTAAAGGAAAATATGTCAAAAAGACTTCCCTGTTTCTTTCTTGGTGTTACACCGAGGTGAGAAATCTATGCTGGAGCATGTGCGATCCTTCCAGGACAGGGACATGTGTACAAGTCTGCCTATATCTGTGCAAATGTGTGCTGCAGGACCTGCCCGATGGCACATACATCAACAAGGAGAATCTCCAAGCGACCCTGCTCGAAGCAGGCCAGACCAGCTGTGGCGACCTGGACTACTCCATTTCGACCTGATAACCTTGGCTATCTGCAGCAGCTATATGGGTCAGGCGAAAATTTGCATGACTCTAGAGCACCAATCCACCCACAAGGTCCACAGCCCTACTCCTAGAGACTGAACAAGGTTAGAAACAGAAGAACTGGTCAAGACTTCCAAGAGAATTCCGTTTTGTTTGTGTATCCATGTGTTTCCCAATGCCATTTGGACAAAACACACACGAAAAACAGATGGCCTTCATTGAAGAATCGGCCGGCACAACAACGAGCCGAACAAAGAGATGTAGACATGTTTGCGTGAAGGAGAGAGCGTTCTTTGTTCTTCTGAGCCAGAAATTTGAGCCAGAAGAATTTTTTGGTGGAGGTTTGAGCCACAGAAGTTCGAGCCACCAGACTTTTTCGGAGGAGATCCTCTGTTCTATTTAAGCCAAAAACTTGAGCCCAATCATTAAGTTGGGTTTAGGGTACAAGGTCTGTAGCAGAAAATTTGATCCGGTGTGTCAGGTCTGTAGGGTTTTAAGGCAAAAAGGTCTCTTTCGGGTTTATAGGGTTCGTGTGTGTTTTCCCTCTTTCTCTTACTCTCTTGTGCGTGTGCCACCTTGTCGGTCAAAACTTTTCCTGCTGTGCTTTAATGAGTCGTTGGCAGTTTCGTTGTGCAAAAGCTTCAATAAAGCATGCGATACCCTTCTTTGGAAGTCGTTCTTCGGCAGCACCCGGATGTCCTTCCAAGTGCGAGAGACCTCCCCCTGTGCCCAAACTCGGTGTAACACCAAGAAAAAGGGACAGGGGACTGCTATGATTAACCTGTCCATCAGAGCTTTGATGGTGGTCTTCCTGTTGGAGGCTGACATGAAGCACGGGCTCTCTAAAGCTGCCAAAGTCTCCGGCAACCAAGCAGCACAACTCCAGCTTAGTGTGGCGATGCAACGGCCTGAGCCTTCGGATGAGGACTTGGTCAGGTTGAACCAGTCGAGCGGCTCTGGTGCGATGGCATCGACTGCTCCGCCGGCCACACCGATCAAGCTATCGAGGACAAGAAGGCCCTATAACTCGGTGTAACACCAAGAAAAGAACAGGGGCGGGCTTGAGCAGGTCACGACAGCTTCTGCCACTCCAGGTGAAGTGCAAGCCTCATCTTGAGGTTCAGCTTGTGGCTCGCCTCCTCTCGCTGAACACCACGACAGCAGGATGCCATGAGAGTGCCGAGCTTGGACATGTAGTCCTCGAGGGCCCCGAAACCCACAGTGCCAGCGGACGTGTGGGACTCCTCTTGAGAAGCTGCGACAGCTGTGCCAAGTTACCTGCAGTGTTCTGAAGCTACGCCGGATCAGCAAGAAATGCCTAGAACAGCTCGTAGGGTTGTTCATCCACCCTTTCATGCATCGTCGCCTGTGCATGTCAGTGTTTGGCGAGGTGTACACACTGTCTTGAAACTTGGCCGAGTCGGGGTCGCAAAGCATTGCCCAAAAGCCTCGTCGAAGAATTTGTTGGAGCATGTCTTATTTTGCCTTTATGTCATACGAACATTAGGTGGCCTGTCAGCCAGCGTTTATCATCAACAGACGCAAGTTTGTCCGGGGCAGGGCGCTGTGCGACTCGCACTTCACCAAGTGTCAGTCGACTTCTTCACCGTGCTGCTGAGCACGTTGGGGAGCGAGTTCGTCTGGATTGGGGCACCACAGGCATTGCGCCTCTTACTGACATGAGAAGGCCTAATCAGCACCTGGAGAGGCTAACGTCAGTTCACAAATGGGTGGTAACCGAATCTAAGCCCTTCAAGGGTAGGCATCACATTAACCTGCTTGAGCGTGAGGTTCTCCACAGGGAGTATCTTGATGTGGCTTCGAGGGTGAAGGGTGGTCTTCGTGCAGTTAATCTCACAGATTCTCGTGTTGTGTTTAGGTGCTGTGGCCAAGGGCCGATCGAGCAGTCGGAGGTTGAACCGCTGACTGCGGAAGTGCTTGGCCGTCAGCTTAGCTAGTAGTAAAATTATCTACAACTTGTGGGTGTCAACTCATCATAACCCCTCTGATTACCCGTCCCGCTTCAAAGCCTTGCCTCCGCCTGCGCAGTTAACTGCGACCGAAGCACAACTGCTGGGGCCGGATTGGATGAGTCTGCAAGAGCCCTTGTCTAAACTAGATTTGTGGGGTCTTTGCAACGCCGAAACCGGCCAAGCACTTTCGCGCCCTGGGGCTGCTGGGGCATCGTCGACAGCGCGTGGCCGAGCATGCTTCCAGGAGCTTTTTACCGTAGAGGCCGGTCTTTCCGAATGTTTGAGGAGCGCGCGAGGTTGGTTTGCGCAGGACCCTTGCTTTGTTTCGACTAGTTGCAAGTGTCCGTTCCGGCATTTGCTGCGGGGCGCTACGTTTGAGGCATTGTTGGGCAGGGCCCGGCGCCCCAACCAGCTGTGGCACTTTCGCTTGCCGTGCCGTAGCTGCGCTTCGAGTGCACGCCAGCAGGCTGCCGAAAAAGAGTACTTGCGCCGTGTCGCAGTTTTGTGTTGCATGCTGAGCAAGGAGGGTAGCTGGTACACACTAGAGAGTGACGTGCAGAGTCACGTTTGGGTCACGTCTGAGATGCAGGCCTTGATGCGTGACACTCGTGCAAGTCAAGTTGACCTTGACATGTGCTGCTACAACCTTCGTGTGCCCGATGCGGTTGGGGTCTGGGGGTGTGCTAACAGGGCCTCTCGTGTAGCCGGCACCTTGCCAAGACTCCACACTTTGTGTCGCCGATGTCGCTGCTCGCGCCCCCATGTTGGCTTGGCAGGAGCTGTTAGGTTGCGTGGGGGTTGGTTTCTCAGGCGGGACCTTGCTAGCAGGTATCCACAATCTTTCTGCAGAAAGTATGCTGCGTTGGCAGCCTTCTAAATAGGGGTGCTTGCAGTCTAGAGTTGGCATTTTCGTAATTGCTGATGCCGCGTGTTGGTTCTTCAAGTCCGGTTGCGCGCGGCTTTGAGAAGCCTTTATGGCAGCTCAAGCTAGCTCGTTTCAGCAGTGCCTACCGTGCGCGTCTTCTCAGCGGCGCCTTGTGTCTCTGCAGCTTCCTGCGTGGCATTGGGCACTTCCAGATAAGTGAGCTGATGAGGCGCAGAAGCCTGGCGGATGATGTGCGACGCCGCTTCGTTGAGCACACTTGCGCAAGCCCTGTTCCTAGGGCTCTGCGTGATGCAAAGCATGCGGTTTTGTTCTGTCAGGCCGTTTGGCCACGCCTGCGTCACAACCTGCCCGAGACCTGGGCGGCTTTGCGTCTGGTTGAAGACATGCGCCCCCGCGGTGTGCGCACACCTCTTCCTTTGCCGCTGCTCCTTGCTATATGGTTATAGCTGCGCGTGCACGCGGTATGCGGGTTACGGGTCGTAGTCGGTTTAAATGGTTGGTTTTTGCAGCTTTGCTTGAAGTCGCCTTCTTTGCCATGTTACGGCCATGCGAACTCTTTGGCCTCCGCGCCGCGGAGGTCAGCACGCTTAACAGTCTTTCCTTGGGCTTTCCTCATTGCACCTTACGCATAGCTCACCCCAAGAACCGTCGTGCCTTGGGGCCTGCGCAGTTTGTGGTGGTCACACACCCTTGCGCGTGCATGTGGTTAACCTTTTTCGTCAACGGCATGCAACCTCAGGAGTTTCTTTGGGGTCCCTCTCCGCAAGATTTCCGTGCCAGGTTTCATACTGTAGCTGCGAGTTTGGGGCTTGGTCACTGTCGCTGTACGCCCGCCAGCCTGCGGGCAGGCGGGGCCAGTTACTGGTACCAGTCTGGCATGCCAATCGCCTCACTCAAGTTTCTCGGACGCTGGGCCAGTGAGGCCACGCTTGCGCACTATGTTCAATTTGCCACCGCACAGCAAATCTTGTTGCGTGTTCCAGATAGCACTTCGCAGTACTTGAGGTCCGTCTTGCTGCAGGGTTTTTTCTTGCTCGAGCCTTCTTCCGAAGTCCGGCGCGGGTTGCGGGAGCACCAACGCATCGCCTTTCGGTGCACGGTGCCTTTGTCTGCGGAGCAAGTTTCCCAAGCCCTGCATGAGTATGGACAACTGGAGGCAGCGGTTCCGGCTGGCGGTCGTCAAGGGCGGGCCTTTGGCGGGAGCACGGTACTTGGATGTCACAGATGACTGGCTGCAACGTGCGGCGGGGTCCTACAGGCAAGACGCCAGGTTTGAAAAGTTTGCTCGCATGGCTACTGGCGGCGGCGTCGCTCCTGCTGAGCCCGGCCCAAGCACACCCGTGCCGGAGGCGGCCTCTGGAGACTTGGCAGCGCCTTTGAGGCCGTGCCGGGTGGTCAAGTCGGCCACGCGGCGCAGCGTGTTGTCTGTCCTCAAGACAGCCGGGTCCAAAGTGCGAGCGCTTTCTTTCTTCATGCGCGCCTGGCTCGCGGTGGCATTTTGTGTCGTGCTCATGCGCCCCTTGGCCATTGCCGTAGTGGCCAAGCTGGCTGGTGGGTTTCTGCGTTTGGTCTTCAGGCGGACGCTAGAGCTTTTCTTATTTGTGCTGGAGCAGCTGCTTGAAGAATTGCTGCAGCAGGCGGCTGAAGCCGTTGCGGTGCCGTTGGCAGCCGACCAGGTTACCTGTCCAGCACAGATGACGCTGCCGCTTTTGTCACAGCTGCTTTTGGTTGCCAGCAGCTCTGCTGCCGGAGCCTTTGCTCACTACGTGTCACTCCGGCTGCGCACTCGTCCACAGCTTCGCTTGTAGCTTCCCGCCACCGCCCCTGCACCTCCGCGTGGTCGGGGGGGTTGGTACAAGCATTGGATGTTCAGATGTTCCCTGGCCATATCACGCCAGCTCATCAGAGATTGTAGCTCACATCGTGTGAGCCTGTGGCAGTTCCAATGCTGCCTTGTCAGATGCTCTCAGTCGGGAGCTGCTCGCTGCCAGACACATACTTCTCGTGGCCCCACGCTGAAAAGAGAGAGACCGATGCAGTCTGCACACAACTCATGCTTGTTTGCATGTCATTCTTGTTGCAGCAGAGCGAGGGAACATGACTTGTTTATGTTATCGAGCGATGCGCCAATCGCAGCTTTCATGGGGCCGCCGCCGCCCCACCGCCACAAGCATTGGATGTTCAGATGTTCCCTGGCCATATCACGCCAGCTCATCAGAGATTGTAGCTCACATCGTGTGAGCCTGTGGCAGTTCCAATGCTGCCTTGTCAGATGCTCTCAGTCGGGAGCTGCTCGCTGCCAGACACATACTTCTCGTGGCCCCACGCTGAAAAGAGAGAGACCGATGCAGTCTGCACACAACTCATGCTTGTTTGCATGTCATTCTTGTTGCAGCAGAGCGAGGGAACATGTCTGTTTCGAGACTGCTGAAAAACATGTATCGCATCCACCAACTGCACCTGTGTCAGTGTGGACAGAGACTTGTACAGATCTTGTGCTGTGCAGAAAAGGCCCCATAGCACTGAAATTTACGAAGTGCCGTTGTGTCTGAAACCCGGCGCAGCAGCTGTTCCAGCAGTTGCATGTGATTTTCGCTCTGAAAGATCTCCCCCAACAGTGAGGAGCATGTCACGACAAAGCGACACAGTTCAACCCAGACATGTAAAGCGCGCTGCCACTGCTGAGAGTGCACTTCCGAATGTTTGCGGATCTTGCTCGAGCCCCCCCGGCTCAGCGCGGAGTTCCCAATGCAACCTTTCCGTAGCCATTGTGGCTCAAGCGCTGGCTCCACAGCTCAGTGCGAAAATTTTGAGAAGGCTCGGGGCCGCGTCTAATTTAGTGGCTCTGTACTGGGTGCTAAGGCTTTAGTGTCGTGCAAGCTTCCCCGCGATCGGGGGGGTGGATGGATCTGTCCGCATCCAGTGTGTCCACATCGTCATCAGACGATTTCCGTGTGCCTGTGCCGCCCTTTGTCTTTGCGCCTGTTCGCATTCGACCCCTGCACTATCACGTACCGGACCTTCAGCGCCGTGTTGCGGCACCGCCTGACATCTTCAGCTACATTGTTGAACCCAGCTTCCGTGGCCTCCTCATTAGTCGGAGTGAAGGGGCCAGGTTCCTTCTCTGCCTCACGGTGTCTGACTGGAACAGGTTCGGTGCTGCTGCCCATTGGGTGCAGTCGTGTTACCGCCAGCTGCTCCCTCTACAAGGTTGACTTGTTTTGCTGCCATGTCTACTGACAGTCTGCCGGATATAATGGGGGATGATGGTTCGGTTGGCCATGTCAGCGAAGATGATGGACCACCAGTCCTTCCTATTGCTCACTTGGAGTTGCCTCCCTTCGGGCCTAGAGTGCAGTCCTCTGGACCTTTGTTCGTGTTGCCAAGGCCGTCGGATGCGGAAGACGAGGCCCTAGATTGGGGAGATGATAACTCCCCCGTCTCAGCGATGGAAGACTTCTTGGTTGAAGTCAATCCTGACATGTCTGAGCTCGGCTCTGAGCATACTTCATGCAAGTCATGTGTACGTGATGATCTGCTGAGCCAGTCCGCAGAGCATGACGCCTCAGAGGCTGACCCTCAATTGTCCGAGACTGAGAAACTTCCTGTTGACGAGCCTCCGTCAAAAATGGCCCGTACCGTGGGTGATGTGTTCGCCGACAACTTTGTGCGTTTGGCGGATGGGGGCATGTCTGATGTTGTTTTGCCTTGGGAGCTGCCTGCTGTCAGTGCAATCTTTGGTGAGTCCTCAGTGTTTTCTGAACTTAAAATGCCAACCCTTTCAATGCGTGAGACGGGAGTCTGGACCCCTCAATCGCCTCCGTGTGATCCATTCACTTCCTTGGATGAACCGGAGGAGCCGTTCGTGTCTGGTGACCTTGCGTCCAATGTTTTCAAGGTCCTCTCTGATGTGGACGTTGATGCCCAGCAAAGTAAAGCAGTGAGGCTTGCAGTTGATAAGTGGATTGTTATCATGCGTAGAAATCGCAAAATGCATCCGGAGTGTGAGGTTGATCCATAGGCACTGGAGGCGTGCATTGGGTCGAGGGCTGCAGGAACTGCCTCCAAAAGGGCGGGTAGCATCCTCACGTTCCTGAGGTGGTTTGATACAATTGTTGGTGCCAACCTCGACCCCTTTACTGACGACATGTTCTGGAGGTACATGCAGTTCCTAGATGGCTCGCAAGCCCCGCCCTCCAAAGCCTCGTCCTTCTTGTCGGCCTTGCGTTTTGCTTACTTCGTGATGGATGTTACTAACATCCCTAACAAGCTAATTCGCAGGTGTGTTGGTGCGGCTGAGCGTATGTTGGCCAACCTTGGGGATCTCAAGCAAGCTCCCCCACTCACTGTGGCGCAGGTCCGCACCCTTCATTCACTGTTGCATGGACAAGGTACCTCGGATTGGGATCGGGCCTTTGCTGGATATTGTCTCCTGTGCTTGTATGCGCGTGCTAGACAATCTGACTTCCGCAAAGTGGCATACGTGGACGTGGATGGAGAGGGTCGTGATGGCTACGTGGTAATCCGGGTCAAGCAACATAAAACTGCCAGGGCAGCCAGAAGAGTTGCTCAGCTGCTCCCAATCTTGATTCCGTTGCGGGGAATCTCGGACACTGAGTGGTTTGAATCATGCAAGTGTGCCTTTGAGAAAGTTGGTCTTCTGTTGCAAGGACATGTTGGTGCTGCTCTCTTCCGTCCACCACTAGCCAGTGGCGTGCTGGCTCGCAGGGCCATTACGTCGGGGGAAGTTTCCGCCTACTTGAGGCTCGCGCTTGGTGATAATGTCGTGTCCTCGCACAGCCTGAAGAGAATTTGCATCTCTTGGGCCAGCAAGGCTGGGTCCAAGAAGGAGGTTCGATCTTGTTTAGGCAGGCATGTCACAGCTGTTGAAGGAACGGAAGCCGTGTACTCTGTTGAGCTAAGCATGGGGCCCGTGCGGGAGCTGGAAACGGTCTTGGATGCCATCAGACAGCTTGAGTTCTCTCCGGATGCAGCCCGGGGGCAAATGTGGGCGTTCCCTCCTCAGCCGCCTCCTCCTGGCGGGCCGTTGCAGAGCAAAAGTGTGTTGTCTGTTCAGGCAAACTCTGCCGCCTCCTTGGCACCTGCGATCAAGGTTGAAAGCTCAGGTGAAGAAGAGTCATCGTCCTCCGATAGTTCGAGTGAGTCATCAGGGTCAAGTGATTCGCAAACGTCGCGGGGTCCTGTGCGTGTTGGCGCCCGTGTGTCTGTTCCCAGTGTGAACCCTGTGCAAGGCACTGGTACATGGGTGAAACACTCCAGATCTGGAGTTCTTCATCATGCCTATGGCGACAACATTCTAGTGTGTGGACGTCCGCGCACGGCTATGTATGTCTTGCCTTCTGAGGAGGATCTTATGAATCCTGAGTGTCGCACGTGGAAGCGCAACCTATGATGAGTTGTGGCGGGAGGACGTTTGATCGTTTCTGATCGCTGTGATGAAGAAAAGAGTTTGCTACATGGTAGCGACTTGTGTGCCCAGGGGCTAATGTGAGGCAATGTGGACTGCAGTATGTGCTGTTGCCGGCTAAATGTCGGAGTGTTGGATTCAAGGCAAGGACATGGTCCCTTATGAGCCTTGTGGCACATGGTGCCAATGCCTAGCCAAGGGGCTTTATAGGCATTAGGGGCCCAGGGGCCATGCATGGAACATGAGTGTGGTGCGTTGTGAATGTGATGTTTCAACCCAGGCTCGCAGTAGTAGAGAGCGGACATGTCACTTGATGTACTTAGGTGTGTGGTGTTTGTACTGTGTCTTCTTGGTGTTGCGCTTTGGCGGAGTTCAAGGGTGATTTCTTCGTCGATTGGACAGCGTAGCTTCCTGTGCCATGTCTTCCTTGATTGAGTCTGAGGCCCACTTCCTCCAGCGCGCCCGCGAGATCAAGTGCCCCGATGCTGTGCTAGCTGAGCTTCGAGTTGGTGGATTCACTAGCCTGGGCCACCTGGCTTATGCTGTGGGCCAGCCGGGACAGGTCATTCCCGAGTCAGCGTTCAATACCTTCTGCACCACTACCGCACCTGGAGCCAATGCAGCTGGCAGGGCGTGCATACGCCGCCTCGTCTTTGAGGCACAAACCTTAGTGTTGGCTGACTTGCGCCTGCAAGTTTCCGATCCGGAAGGCGCCTCCAGGAAAATGCCGGAGGCGGAACGGGAAAGGCGTTTGCAACATCTCAGAGGTCGTCTTCCGGGTGTGCTCATTGAAGGGGGCATGGAACCTGGGAGATGTGTCTTGGAAGACTGCGTTAAGCAAGAATCTGCCAATCAGTTGAAGTACCTCAGCCCTGATCGCTGTGTGTCGCGAACACACGAAGTCACCCACTCTAAGGGCGCATCCCGCCAGCTTGAACTTGAGAGTTCCAAACTTGTCATCAAAGAAACAGATGATGCCATGAGTATGCCAACCCATAGCGCACTGCAAGTTCAGGAGGCTCTCCGCCGCAGGGGCATCGCCTATGTGTTTGCCCAGTGCCTTTCGTTCAATGCCTACGAGAAGTACATCTCCCGCCTGTTCAGCAATCTCCACAGGGAGCCTCCCCCGGGTTTTGCGCGTTGCTCCGTTGCTCAGTTGGTGGAAGCCGACAGACAAGTGTTTGTTCGCCTGATTGAACTGGGAGTCCAACCGCGCGCAGCCGCAGATGGAAGCTTCCCTATGGATGATGCGTTGATCTCGGCGCTTGAAAGCTACCATGTTTCAATGGCCTTGATACCGCTTCCACAAAAGCAAGGCAATGGAAACAAGGAGCGCCGCGAGCTCAAGCGAAAGCTTGAGCCTGGTGACAAAAGGGTCAA